TTCACATAAACTGGGACGGACCTACCCTGGGCCAGTGGGGATTTTTTTATTATTTTCATTTCACATCTATGATTTTGTTAATATCATAATAATGCCCCCGCAAAATATTTTCTAAAAACTCCATATATAAACTTGCCCCCACTAAGTTTTGTGTTTCAAAACTCACCCTCACTCTCAAAATTTTGCACTCTCTAGGCCTCTGCCTAGCGGTAGCCCTAGCTAGCCCCGTCATAATTGTTGGCAATAGACCTAGTTCTATTTATTATTTTTTAAAAATTTCTCCTAAATTAATGTTATTTATTTATTTATTTTAGGAGTTTTCAATTAGATTTTGTTATAAGTAGATAACATGAAATATTGGAAACCAAGTGAGTTCCCCAAACAGGGATTGATGTTCATTAGTACATGAGTTGGTAATTTTCATGAGTTGTGGGAATTGAGGTTTTCATCAGCTTGTTCTAGTTCTGTGATTCATGCTTGGGTTTGATTCCTCCCCTCCCCGGTTAATTTTCATGGGTTTAGGGTGGTTGTAGTGTTCTGGTTCATGTTATGGGGTTGCTGGAGTTGGCTTATGAAGGACATGCCTTGATAATAAAGATGTATCCGGCTTTTCCTTCTTTTTCTTTTTCTTTCCAAGTATGTATTTTATGGAAGAATATTCAGAAGTGAGAGTTGAGAAATTCTTTTATCTTATGGTTGTTCAAGATGAACCCACCTCCAAAAAATTTCTGGGTCCATCATTGAACATACATATCCTTGTTTGTTGGAGAGCCAATCACTTCTTTCTTGTTTGTATTCCCATACTCAAGCTCTGTGGAGAATGAATTCAGGATACTCTGCTTCCTACTCCGTCTGTTCTTCAACGGAAGAGTCCGCCTGGCTTTTTTACTAGAAGTATTGGTTCTTTAGGTGGTGAAGAAGTATCAGTTGCAGGAAAGAGACACCTCAAGCTTGTATACGATGTTGAACAGGATGTGGGATGGTAGTGTGGTTTTGGAACTTACATGTCATGATTTTATTACGAGTATAGTTTTTCTTTTGGAATTCCGTTGATTCTTAGCTGTCAAATCTTGTAAATTTTATGGTTTCTCCTTGATCAATCGGACACTTGTCTTAGCTGGAAGTGGTGGCTCTTTGGAACTTTCTATAATGGTCAATGACAAAAATACTGAACAGAGTGAACCCTCCCTCCATTGCTTGTATTCTCATAATTGTCTTATCACAGTATAACAGAAATTTTTGCTTTTTCCTCTACATTCATTTCTTGGTCATCATTCATGTTTAATTTGTCAGAAGTAAGATAGACTTGCTTAAGAATGAATGAGTAAATAATTTACTGCTTAATTTTAATACTACAGTTTTTTAGTATCATGGTGTGCCATTGTGTATTTCTTTTCAATGTTTGGTTCCTGCTAGTTGTTGGGTCTCTGAAGTTGCTACTGGCAGTTAAGCGTTGATGGATTCTATTGGGATGAGTATATTTCTGCTGCGTAATTTGTTTGTCTTAACAATTAGTCTTACGTTGGCATTTTCACCTCTAAGAAAAGTCGTCTAAAAATAGGATTAGTTCATGAGAGGTTCATGTATTTCATTTAAGCCTCACCCAGATTGAATTATTCATTTTGGCATGACTACCCCATATCCTGTGCATATGAACTATGTCCATATTTCCTGTTTTTGATTAATCAATCAATCTCACCCAGATTTCAAGCTGGAATTACTCATTGCTGTTGATCATGGGGACAATCCTTCTTAGTATATATAGTGTTGTTCTTGATTAAGGGGACAACACCACTCATACAAAGTCTAATTACACTTTGACCAACACCTGAGTCCTACTATTCCCACCTTAAAGGCAGTGTTACTTTTCCATTTACTTATCAACTTTCTTGTGGCTATAATTTCATCCAATGTCTTGGGGCATGGTTTTAGGAAAACTGAACGAAGGGGTTGTCACTACAGCTAGATTATTGTGGTATACGTGCAAAGTGTTTAATCTCAAATTCGAAGCTGTGTTGTCATTTTTTATCAACTGACTGTTCATGCTATCGCAGATGACTCGGATGAATGTAAATTTACTGTGATGAGTGAATCTGTATCGTCTCTTACTGCAGATAAGATGGATGTGGTCATCCTATCACAATAATAGGGAGTTGCAATCGATTTGAGTGAGACCCACCACACTCGGTGTCTCTTTCGTTTGCATGGACCCCATTAAGACGCAAACATCCGTTTATAATCTGAGCGAGTTCATGAATCATGCATCCTTGTCCTCTAATTATATCAGTTGTTGAATTGTCATTTTCCCTTGTAGAATTTGTGTTTTGCTGTTGACCTTTCATTCTGTGCTTATACCGGACATCATGGTCCTTTTATGCTATGCCTGGTTTGTTCTGCTACTAGCAGTAGTACTACTACTACTCTTAGATATGCTATCTAGCTCTTCAATGCTAAGAAGCATATGTTTTTTGTTTTTCATCTGTGTGTGTGTGTGTTTTTTCACGCTGGACTTGGAATGAGGTGAAAATGAATATAACCTCTTTGGTTCCTTTTTACCTATGTAGAACAGACATCGGACATAAGTACGATACGATTAATCAAATTTTTAAAAAAATAGGTTACGAGGACGACGTGGACACCTACATATAAATATAAATTGCTCTAGAATGAATTAGAAAATAAAATTATGTTATTATTGTAATGATTTTTATATCGTATTTCACTATTTTATCATGATAGTATTCGTATTATTTTCAAGATTAGTGGATAAATTTGTATTAAAAATGTCCGAGAAGTGTCACAAAAATATTCGAAATAATAAAATTAATTTTTATTTATGAACACATATATGAAGTATTGGACACGTATTCGAGGAGTATCGATGTCCGACATAGATACAACACATGTACGACTTCTTCGTAAAAGTGTTCATACTTCTAACTTTTTACCTTGGGAGGGAATTTAAGGGCGAAAAGTAGAACTTCGCAAGGGTCGTCATCATATTGCATTAATTTTATATCAGGAACAACTTCAAAATCACTAGTGATCTGAGGAGTGGAATAAAAAAACATGATTGTTGGACAGTGTCGGCAAGATATTGTACATACATGTTTATATAAATAAATATACATATTGATTGTTGGATGTTTATGTTGTTTGGATATTGTCTTGGGAAAAAAAATTTAAAAAAAAAAATTCTAACGTCATTTTGAGTTTTTGGTTTTAATTTTTAATAGAATTTTGTAAAACATTTTATATGCAATCACAAATATGAAATGTTCCAAAAAAAATATTTCACTACAATTCGATTACATAGAATTAGTGTTTTAGAATTAAAATTAATATTTATGTTAACAGAAATGGAGCATTTATCTACCATACAAATTAATCCTAGTAAAACCTTATCATTTGGAAGAGGAATCTTAATGTATTATGTGATAATTTTTATTATACAAATATGCTCTGAAATGAGTTTACAAGGGAACAGAATCTGCTTAAAATAGTGTCTTTAATTTATTTTAGTCCTTCAAATGCGACTTGACATCTGCAGGGGTCAAACATTTACTATAAATGAATAAAATAGTGTCTAGGGTTTTGCTTAGATTGTCTCAATACTTGAGAATGTTTGAATGTGGGCTACATTTCCAGCTTTATTTGCCTTGCTTTTCCTTTTTTAAAAATTAGGGACCACGTGGGTAAAGATTAGGTCATGATATGGCGGGAACATGGACATTAATTTGATCTAGGTAAATTGAAATTAAACCTAAATCACCTTGGTGAATATATTATTAATCTAGCAAATCTTATGTTGTCTGAGTTGTTGGGTTGCTCTTCATATATGAGAGCTCATATCCGAGCCTTACACCCTCTCCTTTACTCATTGATCTCTAACATTCTTATCATGAAAAAAAAAAAAAAAAAAAAATTACTAATCTAAGTGAATATAGAAATTCAATTTGAATTATACAAATCTAAGTACGTTTTGCTTTGCATATGATCATACAGTTTCTCAATTTAAACTCTATGATTTTTAAGTCAATGTGGAAAACTCATTACTTATCATGATCATCTAAATCATATTAATCTCTAACATTCTTATCATGAAAAAAAAAAAAAAAAAAAAAAATTACTAATCTAAGTGAATATAGAAATTCAATTTGAATTATACAAATCTAAGTACGTTTTGCTTTGCATATGATCATACAGTTTCTCAATTTAAACTCTATGATTTTTAAGTCAATATGGAAAACTCATTACTTATCATGATCATCTAAATCATATTAATTTATAATTAATCCAAGTTTATCCTAAGAAACTTGCTAAATCTCTTAAGAAAAATAAATTAAGGATGAACTTTTCTTTTTCTAAAATTTTTCAATTATGTACTAATACACCACTAAAACTAAAAAGACGGGCGGGCATGCTTGGAGCCTTCAGAAAAGATTTAATGTGTCCGTATTTGAGTTTCTCTTCTCTTAGTTTATTTAAAAAATAAATAAATAACTAAATCCTTCACATAATACTCCAATTTAAATAAGAAAAAATAAAAAATTGTAACCTTAGTGTCACTTTCATCCATGATATATGTGTATGCCATTTGTTTAATTAAAGAATGGACTCGTTTTGGTCCTACAAATAGAAGGATATTAAAACTGTTAATTGAATATAACCATAAGAGGTTAGCAAAACAATAAATTTTGCAATAAATAGAAATTAAAAAGTGAAATAAAGAGGCCTTTAGTACCACTAATTTCATTTCACACCATAAAATAAAATAGTTAGCATCACAAATTTTGACAGCCAAATTGTCGTTTGTAGTTTTGTGGTCCCGACAACCCATAATGGATCCAAGTTTGAAAGTGGTGAAGTGTCTCTTTGAGTATCCGTACCCGTGCCCGTGCCCGTACCCGTTTGAAGTGGTAGTGCAATAAAAGATCCGTCGAGTCGAGTCCTGTCAATTTCACACGACACATGACAATAATGTAATAAGGACCATGCGCGCAATGACCCCAAGTAAAAGAACAGTGAGTGTGCATCCATCCCCTCTAAAGCTCTCCCTCTCTCTCTCCTCTCTTTCTCTTTCTAAAAAAAGTTTAATCTTCTGGAAATGAAAAAAAAGGAATGTCGATCTGATTCCAATTCAGTTTCAGAAAAATAAATGAATTCTTAATCCATTAGATAGAGAGTGAAACCGATTTAGAGAGAGAGAGACAGATAGAGATATAGGGGAGTGAAATTTAGAGAGAGAGATGGGTGGAGTGACTTCATCTATGGCGGCGAAGTTCGCCTTCTTTCCGCCGAACCCACCGTCGTACAAGCTGGTGACGGACGAGCACACTGGTCTGTTGCTTCTCAGTCCATTTCCTCACCGTGAAAACGTCGAAGTCTTGAAATTGCCCACTCGCAGAGGGACGGAGATTGTGGCAGTCTACATTCGACACCCCATGGCCACCTCTACCCTACTCTACTCTCATGGTAACGCCGCCGATCTGGGTCAGATGTACGAGCTTTTCATCGAATTGAGCATACACTTGAAAGTTAATCTCATGGGGTAATCAATCACCTTTCACTTTACTCTTTCTCTCTATATGTATACTCGCACACACTTGGATTAATTGAAAGATATGTTTGTATATGCAATTTTTGAGCTTTTTTTATTCTTTATTTTTGCAATTTTGTGGGTTTTGGAATATGTGATTTTGTAGTTCCGGACCGTTTTATTATATTCTTAAGGTTTTGTCTGTATTGGCATCTGGGTTATTGATACTTCTTAGCGGTATATCTATAGTGGGTGGATAGAGAAACTGATGGACTCATCTAAACTGACTTAGGTAGGAGATTGTGGTTGCTTTTGGTTGTTAAGGGATTCTTGCAAGTTGGCTGAAAATGGAGAATTGGTTGATTAATGGTGGTTCTGGTTTGATCCTTTTTGGCATCAGCCATCAGAATCTAATTGGAGAGTATTTATAATCTATGAAGTGATTTACCTCAGTTTGAAATTTGCTTATTGAACATTCAAAATTATGAAGATAATCTTAGTTTTGGTGTTGAAGATCTGTCCGTTGATTTTGGTGTTCAGCAACTTTACTGCGAATATTTTCTCTTGCACATTATACCATTGGTCTGGCAGTGAATTACAGTTCATCGCGAAGAATTTCCTTTTTTTTTCTTCAAATTGAGTGTTAGCAGGAACCATACGTAGCTTAATTATTTAATATCCATCGAAGTTAGATATTAAAAACTGCTATATTATATGATTTGATTATTTCAAGGGGGATTTTCATACTACAGATATACTTAAAATTGTTGCGTTGGGGAACTGTAGCAAACTGAAATTAGTATGATATTGACCTTTTCAGGCAACTCATCATGTATTTTAAGTTTGATTATGTTTTCTAAGTTCTAGATTTTGAAAATTCTACTGATGCCCTTTCTCATAAGGGTTCAATACATAGTTGATATTTTAAAAAACAAAGATGTGTGAACGATTGCAAAAGGTAATATGTTGAAATTTACACATAACCAGTAGAGAATTAAGATAATTCAGAGACATGATTCAGTTAGAGTTTCTCTTAAAAACAAAATGGTTGGGCAACTTTCGAGTCTTCGATTACATGAAACTTTTTAAGGTATATAGAAATTAAATTTATCGTAATTTTAGAAAATATGTAAAATAGTAGCTTGATCCTTGTTTGCTCTGCTTTCTGTATTATCACCCTTACAGATACTATATCCTACCATATCTTATTTCCGATTTTGAGAAAAATAAGCACTTTTTTCTGTTTTTTTAACGTGCATTCTTCCTTTGATTATTCAAGCGGCCATGGAGCCCTTTCACGGGCCACTTGAAAATATTTAAATAAACTGCTGGAAGGCTCTCTGTTATCTTGAAAATATCATTGTGTTCAAACTGTTCAGGATTGTAGTTTGATATATTTTTATTTTTTGATAAGTAGAATTGCAGTCTGATATTGCCAAAAAGATAAAAAATAAATAAAGGAACTGGAGTTCACATTTTGCTCTGTGAATGTTTTCTTGCCATTTGGGTTCTCTGCATCATAAGAAATGCCATAAAGAGGAATCCAGTATTGAAGAGTTGAAAACCATAGTTTATTACTGGATCAAAATTACTTGATGTTCTCTTTCTTTGATGTGTTGGGCAGAACGACTTAAATGTCAGTCATATTGTTACATGACTAGTGTACCTCATGCTGATTTCTGATACCGTAAGACATCCCAGAATCCCCCGCATAATATTGTGTACTAGAGTTGCAGAGTCCATTAAGTGCTTGGCAGATGTATTTTGAATCTACATTAGAGGGACAAAACCATGTAGGAAAGTCATCTGCTAATGTATTTCAAGAATCAGATTCTATGCAGTCATGAGTAAAACAAAGGAATGATAGTTTCTCATGTACATGTAATTTTGTGCAGGTATGACTATTCCGGGTATGGGCAATCATCTGGGAAGGTTTGTGGCAATTTGAAGAACTCTCATGAGAAAAATATTTTGTTCATTAAATTGTATGGTTCAAATTGTAGGATTGGAAGTGTTGCCTACAGCTTATCTCTTTCCTGTGCTGCAGCCAAGTGAGCAGAATACGTATGCAGATATTGAAGCTGCATATAAGTGTCTTGAGGAGAGCTATGGTACTAAGCAGGAAGATATCATCCTTTATGGTCAATCTGTAGGAAGTGGCCCCACTTTGGATCTTGCAGCTCGGCTGCCTCAGCTGAGAGCCGTTGTTCTGCATAGTCCTATACTCTCAGGCTTAAGAGTCATGTATCCTGTGAGACGATCATACTGGTTTGACATCTATAAGGTAATATTCATCTTCTTCAGATTTTGTATCTATACCTTTATGTTTAATTAAAAGCATCATGCATTTGTTGTGTAAAATCTCAGTTTGTGTTGGTTATATGCAGAACATTGACAAAATCCCATTGGTCAGATGTCCTGTACTAATTATCCATGTAAGTATCCCATTTTGAGAATTTTGCACTTTTAAATTGCATAATGGAGTTGAGAAATCACATCTATACCTTCCATTAAATGTGTGAGCCATGATATGACTGGCATTATGTTTTTTATTTTATTTTTTATGACTAGATTCAATGTCCTGGGCAATAGTGATTTGTGAACTTCTTTTTAGAAGCATTCCTTCTTCATATACTTTGGATCTTTTTGGTTTTATAAAAGGGGCATAATAAAATAAAAAATAGATGCCAATTTCATCTGGTTTTGGTTAAGGACTCTAAAAGTGTTAATCTGGTAGAAAATGAAGTGTGATTACAGCCCCCTTGAATGTATCGTACTCTACTTGCTAGCAACTTGCTTTTTTGTTTTCTACTTTTCCTTGCCTACAGTATCAGCACCTCTTCTCTTAAAGAAAATGATTTTTGTTAATGCTAGTTTTTGGAGCGAAGAGTTTGAGCATTTTGAAACTTAAATGATCCCATCCAAAAAATGTTACCATGGTAGTGCTGTTATGGTGTGGACATGGATCCTCTCCTTTAGTTTTTCTGTCCAAATATTTCCAAGTCATCATCCAGTGATTATGAATATGCCACATCATCACTTTTGCTAGGATTTAGTTGTATATGTAACCATAACATAGTGGGGAGTTGCACAAGTGGTGATGTGGCATGTTAATAATGTTGGATGATGGCTTGCTTGAAGAGAAAGAGAAAAACTAATCAAGAAAATCCATTTCCATTATGGTATTTGGCATATGCAAGGGTCTCAAAAGCATATGAGAAGACAAACTCATAGAAGATATACAATACGGTCAAAGTAAATTGTCCACAGACTGAAAAAGATGATTGAGTATTCTTATCTGATCAATTTATACAGAATAATCTGGAAGCACACTTAATCTTCCAATTAAGGGGAATATAGTGATCATAGAACAAACTCCTTGCTTTGTACAATGTTAGAAACTCAGGGTGTCATGCTTGGGGCTGCAAGTTTGAGTAAGAGAACAAGCACTTTGCAAAATAATGCCAAAGGTTAGGTATCTCCGAAAATCCTATGTAGACCGGGCAGACGCCAGATGATGCTATATATATATATATATATATATTTTTCCCTTTTAATTACAACATCCACCAAGGGGCAGGCATATAAACCAGTGACCCACCCACCCACAGCAGGGGAAAAAAAATAATACGGAAATCACTCAGTGGAAGAAAGAAACATAAATTTTCTTCCTCTGTAAATTATTCCAAGAGGAACCAAAAAATGATGCTGCTAACTGCCAAAGTAGGCCACCTGTATGGACCCATGGGGATGACCTTATCAGGACTCAAGTTTCTGTTCTTATTCTTGAAAATAGCAATGCATCCTTTCATCACAGAATCTTTTTGGAGCCACTGCCATCTGCATATTTGCAGATCTTGTCTTTATTAATTTTTATGATGATTGATTTTTTTTTTGCAGCTGCTGTCTTGTTTGATTTTTATTTCTTGAACTAATTGCTGTATCAAAGCTGGCCATTAATTTTGTTATTTCTGTTAAGGTATTGTTTTTCTGCAGTCCTAAACTCTTACTTTTTAGGCCCCATTTTAACTAATTGCTGATTTTAAGACTAGGGTATTGATCCTGTTGAATGATGTTTTATCTTTATCTATAAATATGAATACATATACTGTATAAATTTTTTTATTTCATCTATGTAATTGCGTAAATTTTGACAAAAAAGATCTGCACAACAAGTGTGTTTCCATGAAAGCCGGATCTAAATATTTCAGCAAGAGCAGAATTGTTTTCCTTTTTAGAGGATTAGAAAATGGAGCCCTTTCACAATCTTTTTGCAGGGATTAGCAGATCTATTCTTTCCTTAAAGAGTTTGTTGGAAGAAAATAATTATTAGAAACAGACTACAAGAAACTTAGAAAGTTCCAGAAAAGAACAAAAGAATGTTTGTCTACAAAGTTATGAAATTTTAGTAAGAATTATGGCAAAAAATTAAACAAGCATTTGAACTTCACTATTGGGCATGCATTCACTAATTCATGTTTTAACTGATAAGATATGATCTATGAAGCACCGACACGGCACAAAGGGGTGACGTACACGTGTCGGACATGCGTGTCGGACGCGGACATGTGTGTCCGACGCTTGGACACGTGCGCCACCGGACACATTCGCCAGACACGCAAGGAGACGTTCAAAGGACACAACTGTTTGGAATTTTATTGCATAGAGGATGTAGGCGATGTGGAGAAATATATGTGTGTGTATATGTGATTTAAATGTATGAAGTTGAGATTAGAGAGAAAACGAAGGGAAGAGAGAGAGTGTGAGCTGCGATTAAAGTAAGGAAGGGATGGAGAAGACGAAAAAACCCGGCCAGAATAACAGTGCCGATGGAGATTGGGGGAAGAGGGGGGGGATAAGATTTTCATCTTATCTTCATTTCCTACTTGTTTGATTACAAGACTTTGCACATCCACATATAAGACATATGATATATGGTATATCTTTTATATGCGGTATATGTTACCGAAATTTGGGCTTTTTTATTATACAAAGAAAGTGTAGATTGGGTCTAATTAAAATAGGCCATGTTTATTAATATTATGAATTAGAAATTGAATAAAAATTAAATTTATATATATAATAAAAAATTATAATATTATTTTATTGTATTCTTGTTGTGTCTGTGTCCTATTTTTTAAAAATTTGTTGTATCACCGTGTCAATGTTGTATCGTACCCGTGTCCGTCCGTGTCTGTGCTTCATGTCATCCAAGTGCAAATGATGTAAAAAAGATTAAAAGTTAAAACTGACCTCATGCTCTCTCTCCAATGTGTAGGGAACTGCGGATGAAGTGGTTGATTGTTCTCATGGTAAGCAACTATGGGAACTGTGTAAAGAGAAGTATGAACCACTGTGGCTCAAAGGAGGAAACCACTGTGATTTAGAGTTATATCCAGAGTATATCAGGCATCTGAAGAAGTTCATATCAACTGTGGAAAAATCACCCTCCCAGAGGCACACTTCTAGGAGAAGCATAGACCAGTTTGAGCAGCCTAGGCGGAGTACTGATGTTTTTGATGCGTCAAGGAAGAGCACTGACCGGGGAGAGAAACCAAGGCAGAGCACTGATAGGCCTGAAAAATTGAAAAATCTGTCCAATAATGCTGAAAAGCTAGAAAAGCTTAGAATCTCTTTTGACCAAATGGAGAGGTCTCGGAGAAGTGTAGATTGCATTGAGAAATCCCGGAAAAGCATCGACCACCAACTAGAAAGAGCTCGAAAAAGCTTTGATCACCAACTGGAAAGGGCTCGGAAGAGTGTTGATCGTTTGGATAGAATAAGAACTGGGTAATTTTTCTTACACCGAGTTGTAAAATTCATGCATTGTTTTGTGTTGTGGGGAAAATTGGTGCCTATTTTTATTTTTTTCCTTCTTATTTATGGGTTTTTGAGCTTTGTAGTTGGCTTGTGGAAGCTCTATAATAACTATGGCATGAAATGAGAAAAAGTGTGGTGTCATTATAGGGTTATCTAGGTTGTATACCGGCTTCGTGACCCTTTGGATTCTAGGTTGTTTGGTTCACATCATGTTAAACACCAAAAGTGTGATTTTTTTCTTCTCTCTCTCTCTCTCTTGGTTGCACCTATATGTAGAAATACCATTAGAGAAGAAATTTTCACTTGTTCAGCTTCATAACAGTCACAATTTGATCCATTTCTAAGTTTTTCTGCGACTGAATTCATTTGGCACCCATAATCACATGTGTTGAAGTGGAAAAGTATGAGATTGTGGATACTTGAAAAAAAAAAAAAAAAAAAAACACAAGTCTTAGATTTCATGTGAAGGAAGACAAGACCTGCGATGTTTGATAACATGCTATTTCTCAAACCTACTGAGTATCAGCTTCAGAAGTTCGACAACAGGTGGCCTTTTTAATACTACAGCGGGCCCTAAACCAGCCCACCTAATGAATTTTGTGTTTGGGAGACTTGGGCTCTTGGCACTTTTCTTGTCTCCCCCTGTTTTGGATTTAAAACCTGGCAGAAAAGTGTTTTGCGAAAACAGGTCTATTTTTCAACTCAAGTTTCACTTTTTTATTTTTTTCAATCTCTGGAAGCAGGACTAATTCTCACCCATCTTTCATCTTGGTCTAATATTTTTTTTTTTTTGACAATGATGGTGTCAAGTCTCTTAAAACACTCCAAAATTTATCACTAAATCTTGCTTCACCTCTTAAAACAGAAGAAAATTTTACTTTAAGAGTGTTTGAGATTAGACTATGTTTTAGTTTATGTTCACCATTTTCTCAATCAAATGTCAATCAACCTTTTTGTAGTGGTGTGCACAATTTGCATTGCATGTCTATCTATATCACGTGGCATCTGTTCACATAATTAAAGTCATTTGACAAATTGGAGACATTTTGGACTAAAAGCTGACAAGCAAGTAAAATTAAAAGGAGTATCAATCAACACAAATCCAAAGACCAAAATAGTCTAAGATTGAGGTTGGTAAAAGTAAAATCAAAATCTTCCACTAAAATAATCCAAAGTAAAGTCTTTTTAAAACAAGGTTCCAATACTGTTCATGCATGTGAGGATCACTGTATAATTAGGCGCGGGAAAAAAACGATTAAATTCACCATCAATCATGTGCTACTTGTCTTGGAGTTTGTCAAAGTTGAATCACTAAATCCCTCTTTCGGCACCTAATATCATATAAACTATAACCATAGCCACATTGAGAACGAGGGACATGTCTTTGATTATACAGTATTTTAAAACAAATTTCTGTTATTAGATAACAATTAATACAAGTACTTCCAAATTTTATTTCGGAAGAGTGTTCTTTTTTTCCAGAAGTTATTATCCGAAAATAGAACTAATCATATAACCTAGTTATTGAATGGATAGAGCAAGTAAAGAGAGTGACTATTTTGTACTAAGGTTTTTGCATCTAAAGAATGAACATAAAGCGAGGCCTTGCATGCGGATGAGGAAAGAACTGTCAATATAGAGCAAATAGTACATAAAAAATTACTATTACTATCCTTAAAAATAGTAACAGTTCATAAAAAATTAAGACTTACTTGATTTGTAACTCTAAAAACAATTTTTGAGAATTTGAAAAACAAAAAATTGTTATCAAAGGACATATCTGAAAATAGACATTTTTATAACTGAGTTTTCAAAAAACAGTTTTCAAAAAACTAAACAAAGCAGAAATTTTGTACAATTTTCTGTTCTCAAATTGAAATTAGATAACTGTTTTCATAATTACAAACCAAACAGACACTTACTATCATTAGTGTTTGCTCTATAATGACTGTTCTTCGAAAATACTATTTTCTAAGAATGGATCCTGGCCAACATATCCTACTTCGCAAACAGCTTGGAGTTTGGCTGGCAATGCAAGATCGATCCTGGCCAACATATCCTACATTCCAGTGTGATCAAAATTACTCGGGTGGTATGAGCTCTCTACTGCAACTCTGCAAGGAAAGGTGAGCTGTTCGAACCCGAACCCGAACCCGAACCCCATGAGAACCACGTGGTAAGTCTATGCATGTGTTACTTACTGGAAAAGAAGGAAAAAAAAAAAATGTCCGCGAATTTTAGTTACGATAAAGCTTCCTCCTACAGTCCCACTATAAGATTTTATGGATGTTGGACAACCTTAATTCTGACAAGACTATTTCTTCCAACAGACGATAATGAAAAATATTCCATGGATGTTTAATGGAAAATGAGCTAAAACAAAATATCCAAATGTTAATATTCAGAAAACACCGCTCCACAGCTTCTACAAAGTACATACACACAACAGAGGAGAGAGAGAGAGGGGTATGATATTAAGCTCAGGGTTCTAAATTATTGTGCACAGGTCTTCGCCGGCGAGGTCGAGAGTAATCTTCTGACAACCACCAACCTGGCGCGTCTTGCACGTCGACTCTTCTTCCCACTTGTTGATCCCCTGAACCCATCATTCCTGCAAGCCATCGATGCTTAAACCTTGAGAGAAATCTATTTTCACCGTAAGCAACAACGCTCTCTTGTATACAAAGCAAAGAGAGACATATGACAACCTTAATAACCACCACCATCTTCATCTTACCCACTCTTCTACATATTTTCTCTCCCACCCAATCCTGGCTTATATAATGGGCACATGAATCATGAAGGGCTAATCCTAAAAAGTAGTTTTATAGGTTAAAATGCTTGGCATGTTAGAGGCTTCTTTTTGTTCTTTTCTGCTGCTCGAAACTTCAAAAGCATTCACTTTCAAAAGAATTCAAAGTACACCTTCTAGCGACCATGTGAAACCTGCACTTAATATCTTATAAGATAAGTTCAGCCTAGGGATGTCAGCAGGGCAGGTTCGGGACCGGGCAGCTTTTAAACTCCTTTTCCAAACTTGTCCTTGATTATATTAGAATGATCACAAACTCATCCCAATACGGACAGGACGGGGGCTAAATTGACATCCCTGGTTTAACCACCTAAAAAGCTTAGAGTTCCAATAGGCATCTTGGTCAATAAGGGACCTACTTAAATAAATTATACGTCCAATCTGGCGAATCTATTGTGTGAATACAATTTGAACCCCTCTTAGTCATAAAAGATCTTCTTTTCTTTATTCTATCTTCCTCATGGACCAGCAAGCACTTGTTTGGATAAGATTAAAACTGCATGCAAAACATTTTCAAGTCACATGACCTTTAAACAAGAACTTATAAGACTAAAACTGCGTGTAAACATTTTCAAGTCACGTGACCTTTAAGGAAGAACGAACTAATCCAGAACAAACCAGATTCAACATTTTCTACATGTATCATTTTGACATAAGGTACTGTGTCGAATTTCAACTGGTTAGACAACCTCAATTTAGGATGATCTATCGAGCTGGGGAACAGTTAAATGGCCGTAGAATGAGTAACAGATTCAAATGGAAAAAAAAAAATTATTTCAACTCATGTTTTGTACAAATAAGTCAGATTGCACAGGCCTTTCATCGTAAGTCACTTCGACTAATTATAGCATCCCTTTATTATTATCACAGTAAAACATGCCTGGTCCAACAGATGCGCTTTGAAATGAAGAATTGTAGAGGGGAAGTGAATGGTAACAAAAGAAAGATAAATGACCCTTCTCTAGATGTAATCTCAGGAAATTGAATGCGTATAAATGAATAAGAACCCAAAAATGGTTATATCCTCTGTTCAATTGGAAAATGAAGGGAAAATCTGAAAATATGAACCTGTTTTATGATTTCATCATATCTGACTCGGATACTAGAAGTGTAAGGAACTAAATCTCATCTCTTCAACATCCATTGTCAAATATGAATCAAATACCATTCCGTAGAGATTTGGAGCACCAACTGATTAGAAATTGAAATAGGAGTCATGATTGCCAAATATATCAAGGAGCTCTGTCAAAGGGTTTTGTATCATTGTAACAAACATCCCAGACAGCTTCCATGGCATCCTTAGCAGCTGCCTCAGTGCAATAAGGATTAGCAATGACCGATTTCATAACTCTTCTTCTCACACAATCCTACAAATGTCGGAATAAAACAAGCACCGGATATTAAAATGAATTAGAAATTGATCTTAGCTTCAAGAACTAGTGGGCAATAATTACCATGCACACCATGCAAATGGATGAAGAAACAGAAGTTGTAACAAGATGCATATGAAAATGATCATAGTAATAAAGAAAAGCTTAAGTCCTATCTCCACATTAAAAGGTTGCGACTTTCTCTTCGAAAATTACCCCAAGGTGCTAACCATGGTAAACATTTGTCCGGAAAAAAGTGTGAGGAAAAATTCAAATTTTTAAAGTTATCAACTTTTCAAATTGATACTAGAGTTAAGTTCAGAACAACCTATCATTTATATCTTAGATTGTATAGAAATTGAGATTGTCAGTCGGGACAAATGCAGGAAACTGGCCACTTCTGTGTTAATTTCTCTAACATCTGATGCTACCTGCCCAGTTCCCACTCTCCCCCAAACCCCACCCCAGCCCAAAAATCTTATTCTGAACCATTAGTTCAAACTAAACATACGCAAAATGCTTGAGAACATATGCAAAACATACCCCACAGGCTATGGTTGAAAATGGATAGATTTACTATTCTGTTGGTGGCTATTGCAAGAAGCTAGTATTGGTTTTAGTTTCCAGATGCAATTTGGTTACATCGTGTGGTTACCCTTAAATTAAGTTCCAAAATCTTCAGAAATGAATTATTTTTTTCATTGGTAAGAAACACACACCCACTTTGTCCCTTTGGGGACTCGAACCCTCATCATCCACTTTGGGAGGTAGAGGAGATACCATTGGACCACAAGAACTATGATTTTTTTAATGAATTATTAAAAAATCATAGTTCCTTCAATGGTCGATAATAAATAATTGAAATGTACCTTTTTCATACAAATTGCAGGTCAAACTCCAATCATCAACTGTTTTAAACCGGAAGGAAAAAGGAAATCGTCTTGCTTTATGAACTCTAGATCTGTAATTAGCAATGATTAACTCAACCAGGATTCTTTTCCAGTATATCTTTTTAGAAACTCGACCTAATATAAATAACGTAAACATACTTTTCTATTAAATTTCTCAAAAATCCCTCCCATCACTAGTTGCAACATACTGCATACATCAATGAACATGTCAAAGCAATGGACTTTATTGATTTGTCTGGGTGCAAATCTAAGAAGGCTTCTAACCATTTTTTTTTTTTCCCTAAATGAAGGTTTTTAAAAGTTATTAGACAGCGAAAACAAGTTTGTTTTTACCAAGGGCATAGCCCAAGCAATATTTCCTCATCCTTCCAAATGGAAGGTTCATGGTTCAAATCCTCTATCGGACAAATGGGTGTGTGCGATTACCTAGAGAAAGAAAATAAAAATAAAAAATAACAAATTTGGTTTTTGATCTTGAAACCATGGTCGTACAGTATTGATTTGACATTGCCTTTGATGTGATTCCTTCAAAGAGCAGGTGATCATTGGCTCTCAGGACTTTGCAAGGAAATAATAACCCAAATTACCTCAATTGATTATTTTACTCTCACTTCTTTAACTGAAAAGGAAAAGTTATTTAAAATAGTGCAAGTGTGCAACTATCATATGCAAATCTAACATGCAAACAGGCACACACAATTCAGAGAAACACAAGTGCAAAGGCTAATGGTGAGATGAATAAATGCTTTGCATCTAAAACCCAATGCACGAAACAATCAGTTATGTTGTGATCCACTTCTTTCCAAACTTTGCCCATTCTAGAATCATACAGCTATGTCCTTTTAAATTCACAGGTGACATCTTATTCAAAAATACATAGCATGTGCATGTACTGCACTACTGCATAGCTTTGCCTTTGACAAGAGAGAAAAATAGATGAAAAGATATGTACAAAAATCCACCCAATAGGGATGCCAAGAATATTTTAGTCACTTTCAACAATATGTGTTTTCTGCTTTTCTGGAAAAAGAGAAGAAACCATGGCTGAAAAAGAGAACTACCGCATATCCTACTAATTGCAATTTTAATTGAAAATACAGATTAGGTTTAAAAATTGTCGAATAACATAAAATTAGCATAAATCTTTAAAAAAGAAGCAATATAAACATTGCATTAAAGAGGGGGAGAGGGGAAGAAAAACTAGAAGTCCTGAATCTTAAAACATTAAACTCCCACCTCTCTAAAGTTACTTCTTTTTCTCATTAACTTTAAATAACTGTATATATAACTTGTGTAATGAATATATGTTGATGAGGTACCCACCAGAAATATATGTGTATCTGCTAATAAACTAAAGTACATCATAAGCTTAGTGAGAGATTAGATTGACAAGTTTGCCTTACAAAATGGTGGATGTTCAGAAAGCAGATTAGTAATATAACTTTATAATTTTTTTAAAGAAAATGAAATCACCTGCTCATGACCTCTTATCTTCACAAAACCCCGCAACAATTCCCGCTTGTAGTGGCAATCACCACTTAGATGACCAGCACGAATCTGTTTCGCATGGAACATAGAAAAATGAATTACAAAAACTCCAACAAACAAACTGCAAGAAAATAGTCTGCTGGCATAGGGATGCAAACCTCGCTACAGGCATGATGAGCACAATTAGACCAGTCCAAGTTTGCAGCACGACAGTCATCATATGCATGAATGAGCTCATGAATAACAACTTGATTGACCTCATCTTGAATGTTCATGTGATTACTACATACCACTATCTGAAAACCACAAAACATAGAAAGAGAAATGGCATAAGTATGTCAAAATGTCATCCAACAAAAAGAAGACGACACAGATCAGTATGAAACACTCTGATGAAGGCAGACAGAAAATTGAAAAAGAGAAAAGAAAAAAGAAAAAGGATTTTTAAAAGAGAACAAATTTTACTATCGATCTTGATAATTGACAAAAGATAACTTGATCAATCAAGATGACTTTAGAAAGAAAAGGTGCCAAAAGTTTACCAAAATTGTTCAATCAAAAGATAGTTATACTTGACTATAATTCAGCTCCGGTGCCAACCATATCTCATTGACATTGTAAGCGATCATTCACACACTAAATCACCAGTTTCAAGGGAATAGGCAGAAAGATAGTATTATTTCATTATTTAGACTCCACCTTTAACATATTGAAGTACGTATTTGGTTAAGCAACTTTGATCACACACGAAAATTCAGATGAAATTTGAAAAGTAAGTTATGAGTTTCAAAGGTACCACAAAATTTGGAGAGTGGATGAACAATTAATTAATAATTCACTACAAGATTTGTGCTTTCCAAAATTAGTCTTTCAATTCAGGTCTTTGGATCAAATAAGTTTCAGGCACAAAAACTTTAAAATCGTCATGATGTAATCAGAAACAACTTGTAATCACTAAGAAGTGACTGGGGTCATAGTTTGAGCTTGGTTTTTGGTAAGTATTTGAAACCTATACTGAAAGATTAAATTCACACCTACAAATGAGTCTTTGACATTGAAATTTATTTGTTCAGTACCAACAGGCCTGTGGCCTAGCGGTACAAGCTTCCCACTTGCCAAAAAGGAAGGTCAGGTTCGAACCTAAGTAAGGGCAGTGTGTGAGTCCCAACTAAGAAAAAAAATAAAAATTATTTGTTCAGTTGAACAGAAATGTATACATCGATATAAGAGTATAACAGAGAGAATCATTACCCCCTCGCCCCGGACGTAACCGCCACTGATATGCTTGTCACAATGAACGGCCTTGATGAACTTATCCCCAATACTGCATCCAGATTTCTCCAAATGTTCCTTCAAGAATTTCACCATTGGAGCTGCAAAATATACACACATAGGAAGAAACAAATTTAATGAAATTTATTCGTTGCATTGAATAAAGAAGCTCTAAAACCCTAAACCCTAGATAAATCTGTGAGAGAGAAGTAAGAGTAAAGATACTTCTGAAGCTTCTTTGAATCATGTCTTGGCATTCCTCCACCGTTCTACCGCCGTTGACGGCGGAGGAGTTGCTGACAGAAGAAGGTTTCGGATCGGACTCCTCCGCCATTCTGGTCTTCTTTGCACCTTCGGCAAATGTGGGGGTCACTCTTCCGCAGCAAATTCCCGGGTCGATGGCCGGATCGGGTATAAATAATTCCTCTATTTATTTATATTTCCTCGAAAATTAGGACTATTCAAAAGGTAGAGTATTTTAATACAGTAATAACTATGAAGTGTCACTTTATTTCTTTTTGTTTTTTTATAACCAAAAAAAAAAAAATGTACAAACAAACAAACAAAGTGAAGTATGAATCTCGTGTGAGAATATGGGTTAAAATTAACTGCTCTGTACAAATTAGGGTTGTAACTTGGGCGGGCTAACCAGCCCAGCCCAACCCCAACACAGAGATTTTAAAATTTGGACATACAATTCACAAATCGGGTTTATGTTTGGATTGGGTTTTGTCAGGGTTGTAACTTGGGCGGGCTAACCAGCCCAGCCCAACCCCAACACAGAGATTTTAAAATTTGGACATACAATTCACAAATCGGGTTTATGTTTGGATTGGGTTTTGTCAAAACCCAGACATATTCGGGTTGGGTTTGGACTCAACCCGAACCCAATCCGAAACCCAAAATTTAAAATTAAAAAAAAAAATTCTCCTTCTCTCTCCTCCCCCTTCTTTCTCTCTCTCTCAGCCGCCGTCCCCGCCACTGCCACCGTTGATCCGCCGCCGCCGTCGTCCCTCACCCTCCCTTGCACTCGTCGAAGATCAGTTCACCACCGCAAACCTCTTTAGCCAGAAAATATCAGATCTAACACTTGAATGTAGCTTTTGCCAATTAAAGTCATTAAACCATATGGGCGCAGTGGAAGTATACTACAATTGCCATATAAATATATAATCGATGTGCATTTTTAACACGTTTTTTTGTTTTTACCTACAGTTTCTCCAAAGCATCTTCAATGTTACCCCTAAAAAAGAACAACATGATGAAGCCAATTGTTTTGGAAAAACATAAGCAAAATGGATAACAAAAAGTAGCAGGTTGAAGCTAACTTTTGTGTTCTAGTCTTTGTCGAAGAAATCACAATCACACTCATGCTTCGCTTGCAGACAGATCTGATTTTTCTCACAATCTAAAATGATACGCCGATATGGGTTTTGAACTTTTGATTCTTGCAGACAGATCTGAAATATATGGGTTTTAAACTTTTGATTCTTACAGACAGATCTGAAATATACGGGTTTTGAACTTCTAATTTTTGTAGATTTTGTAGTTTGCAGGTGCAGAGAAAGGGAGAGAGTTAAGAATCTGGTGGCAATTTGGGAAGCTGAAATGATTTGCCCTAGAATTTTTTTGTTTTTTAATAATAATATAATCAAATATATATAACATATATATATTTCCGAAAAAAATAAAATTATTTTTTAAAAAAACTCAACTCGTCAACCCGACCCGACCGGTCCGAAAATATTCGGGTTGAATTTTGATCATAACTCATATTGGGTACAATTCGAGTTGGCCCAACCCAACCCGATTTGGGTTGAGGTTGGGCTGGGTTGGGCCAGCCCAACTTGCAGCCCTAGTACAAATAATGGAAAACATTGACTCTATATCCGATCTCAATTAATGAGAATCACACTCAATAACAACTCTTTTTTTTTTTTTCTTTTTTCTTTTTTCTTTTTTTTTGCTATAATAACCTTAGATTTAGTTTCACACATGAAAATAATTCTTTACAGTCATGTTTTTGCAGTATTAGTTTCTTATGAAATTTGAAAATTTGTATGTGTTGGTTTTGTTTTGTGTTCTCACACTTTGCATTATTCATTTATACAAAGCATATTGTGGAGATAGCATATTAACAGTACTTTCAGAGGGGCTTTATCTAGTCACTTAGGGTCACTTTGGTGCAATGAAAAAGGTAGGAAATAAAAGGGAAAGTGATGGAGGGGGATTAAAAAATTGTGTTTGGCTAAAATGGGTGAAAGGAAAGGAAAGGAGAGGGAAGGCTTTGGAGGGTTATCTATAGGTTTATACAGTAGTTTTCTTATCCTCCCAAAAATGAGAGGAAATGGAAGGAAAGTGAAGGCAAGGGCTGATGTAATATTTGTGATGCCAATTTTACCCTCAAGATTACACATGTTTGCAAAACAAGAATTACAAATACATACAAGTTAGCAGTTGCAGAGAAAGTGAGAGACAGCGGGCCAGCGGCTGAAGCTTGCGAACGGCGAACCCGAACTGGAACAGCAGCGATGGAAATTGAAAGATATGGGTTTTGATTTTCTGAACAATTTGAAATGATATACCGATATGGGTTTTGAACTTTTGATTCTTGCAGACAAATAGATAAACTGAAATATATGGGTTTTGAACTTCTGATTCTTGTAGTGCAGAGAGAGAAAGAGAGAGGGGCAAGTTCAGAGTTAAGAACGAGAATAGAGATGGAGGCGAGATTGGGGAGCCTGAAATGATTTGCCCTAAAAAAAAAAAATTCTTTTCTTGTGGCCCATCATCTATGGGCTGTTAAGGCATAGGAGACTATATATATATCTATATATATATTTATCTTTTAAAATATAAAAAGGTATAATAGTCAATTTATTAAAATAATTCTCTTTCTTTTCTTTCCCTTTCTTTTTCCAAACATGATTATTATCCTTCCCTTTCTTTTCCTTTATTAATCAACTAAACACAATAGGAGGTTAAAATAATCATTCCCTTCCCTTTCCTTCATAACTAATGTTATCATTTCCCTTTAAACCCACTGTACCAAACATAGCCTTAGTTAATGAAGTGCCCAACTTACTTTCAGAGAGGCATTATCTAGTCACTTAGATGGTGAAGTGCCCAACTTCTTGAGCGCTTGAGTTCTCCTTTCCTTTGTATAAGATTGACATGAAAAAAATAGTGTTACCCAAATTACTCTTAAATTTTGAGATACTACTTTTGTTTATGTAAAAATGTAACTCTTGTGTACAGAGGTATCACTCTTGTACACATAAGTATCGTTCTTGACATTCGTTTTGTTTTTACTGTTTTTGTTTTTGGCCTGTTACAGTATCGATTTTGGCAACAAAAACATGTTTGGTGCGACCTTATTTTATTTTAAACAGTGTTAAAACACTTCGTGAACAGTGGCCTAAAATCAAAATAGCAAAAAGTTATTTTTTTTCTTATTTCGACAACTGTTCATGACTCAAAACTATATTTTGCATGTTTCTGTTTCTGACATTTCTATAGTAAAATATTGTTTCCAAACGTGATTCCGATTTTTTTCCAAAACACTCCCATAGCAAAAATATTGTTTCTATTTTAGCCAAAAATAAAGCGCATGCCAAACGGGCAAGTTTTCAAAATAATTTGCACAAAAGTGATACCTCTGTGCATAAAAGTGCTACCAACTGATAAGTGCCGAATATTATATATTCAAGCGCCCTAAATTGCATTTGTTAAGTCCATCTTTTGATTATTTATGTAGATTATCTCCATTTCCATGTTTTTATGCATTTTCAGGTTCATTGGCCAAAAAGAAGCAAGGTTGAAGTTTTGTTGTAATTTTGGATAAGAAAGGCACAATGCTGAAGCTTGGCAGCAGTGGAATCTGACTTTTGTTGCCATTTTCGACCTAGCAAACTCAAGAACTGGACTTCCATCATAACATGAAAGATTTAGAGCTCTGAATCAGCTTTTCAAATCTTTAAGCGGTTCGTCATTCGGAGTTCGGAGCAGAGAGTTATGATCTTCTTATTAGAGGTGCTCAGAACTGCCTGGCAGCAATGAAAGTCTGCCTTGTTCTTCAATTTCGACCAACCAGACTTGAGAATTGGATCTCCACCAAAACATAAAGTTTTTATAGCTCTGAATCAGCTTTCCAAATCTTTAAGAGGCTTGTCATTCGGAGTTCAGAACCCAAAGTTATGGCCGTTTTACCAAAGTAGGTCCGGGCGGAGCAAACAAAGCATAGGGCATTCTGGCCAATTTTCGAGTGCTCGAGGCCTTATTTCGAGTGCTCGAAATTAGGGCAGATTGCTTCACGAGATCAGCCACTTGTGCTCAGAAATTTACTAACTTTGTATACTCTCTTTATGAGTTGGTTGGGGATGTTTCTTGGAGGAGGGAGAGGGTTTTTTGGGTGGAGTAACATGTCTACAAAAGAGGGGAGCCACACATTACTTAGGATTATCCTTCATTTTGACAAGAGGGAGGAGAGAGAAGAGAGCAAAAGAAAGGTGTGTTCTTCAAGCTCCAAAGAGGGTGCACGAAAATGGAGATGAGGATGATGCTTCTTCCTTTTTCTAGCTCACCAATGGGCAACTAAACCTCATCTAGGGAGGTAATGAAACCCCTCCCTTGTAAGCATGTGTTAGTATAGTTTATTTTTGGGGATTACAATGTATTTTTGATAGTCTTTCCATGATCAAGAGCCTCATTTTTGTTGTAATGAATGTTGAATGTTTATAAATGATTATTGTGAGTTATTCATCTTGTCTTGGATGGTTACTTTTCTTAATCATATTGCTTGCACTTCCATGGTGACAATGGAAGTTAGATCATGGAATGGTTTTAATGGCATGGAGTTGGAGAACCTAGATAGTTCATGGCTTAGGGTTTCCCTTTGATGGTCTATACTTGATTCTTAGTTTTATGTGCATTCACCATTTAAATTAGGGCTTGATAATCCTTGACTTAGTAAGCATGTTCTAAGCGACATTTTCGTTTAGGTAGTTGATCATGTGAACCTTTGATGGTTTATTCTTGCCTTTCTATTTAAATGAACTTCTTGAGGATATTATAGCAACCTGGTATTGTTATGTATCATGACTATCATATATGTTGTTTTTCCCTTAAATTAATCTTAACCTAACATGTGTATAAGGATGGAGGTGGATTCATTACCCTAGCCTTCTTTACTTGTACTTCACTCACTTGAATTCTTGCAATTTATTGTTTTATGAACTTTTAATTTCCTAACTTAAGTGACATCCAACAAAACCTCTATAAACCCTTCATCATTCTAAGAATGATTCTAGACATTTAGGTTGTATTAGACTAGCGCAGTCCCAGTGGTTCGACTTACCCGACCAATAGCTCTATTTTACAATGATTCGTGCTATTGCGAAGGTTGATGTATAGTTGATTAACCGATCACCAACATCCACAAATGTGACACCTACGTGCATAAAAAATAATTAACCTTCTCAAAAACTTAATTTTGGTAAATGAACCCATCAACAAAGTCAAACATATGTTACTTCTTTAAATATTACCTTTTAAAATACTCAGATGATGTTTAAAATGAACGGCATAATATATAGCCACGGTGTATAAGACTATAATGTTCTTCATATAAATAAATACTTATACTACTTGTTGTGAGATTTATATGTACCACTCACAAGTGCACGAATCTTTGCAGATAGAGCTTACTTGTAAGGGTGTCATACCCAAGGGACTTGTGTAAAATAAGTTTGTCAACAAATTTCTTAAATTTCAATTTCACTTGAAAGTAGGATAATTGAATTGTGATGATTAATTCTAAATTAACTAAGTCGAAAAATAAAATAGACTAAAGAACAATGATTAAATAGGATGTAGAAAATAGAGAGAGAGGACTAGGGGCATGACTTCACCACTAACGTCGCACCACCAGTTAATTGTATCAATTTATTGGAGATATATGATATAACATTCACAGGGAATAAATCATGGCTACAAGCACATATTAATTAAGCTAGAAAATAATATAATTTAAAGTTAAGTATGGACTATCTTTGATTGGTATAAACCATATACCTATCTATTTTACTCTTAGGACGTAGCATGGTCTATCTTTTCTAAACATAATCCATCAAATCTCTAACATTATATTCAGAGAAATACCATTGTGTAATCATCTCATTCACAACTACAAAAAATAAATGAGTTGTGTTCAATCACAAGATAAAAATATCTAAGACAAGATAGAAAAAATATTTGTAATTGAATTAAAACTCTAAAACCAATTCTTATTGAAAAGTCAATTAAAAATCCTATAGATTACACAATCATGCATGATAAAAATTGTTCTCCAATAATTAAATACAATTAAACCAGTGTGTTAAGTTAGGGCTACATCGCAACCCTAGTAAATCGTTTAGTCAAGCATGACTAGAGTGGAATTCTTCATAGTTGAGGAATATATCTTCACCGCCATTGATTGATCTCTTCTTTCTTCTGAATGCTTCTCCTCTGATCTCAACCTCAAGCTCCTCTGCATGATAATTCAATATTGTAGAGGACTCCATTTAAATAATAAAATACCAGCCCTAAAGTTCCCTTTTTCATGTAAAAGACATACATAAAAATTCTGTCAAATAAGAATTTCAAAATTCGTACTGACTTCCAGCCCAATTTTGACAAGGTAAACAGCGGTTTTATGGAATTCTCGTGAAATATAAAATCGTAGGTCTTCGAATTTCCTTTCAGCTCGCGAGAATTTAACTGTTTTGACCCTCAAGGAGAGAAATACAATCAGATTACCAAAACGGGTTCAAGTTACCAATTTTGGCGAAAGTTTCCTTTTTGAAGAAGGATTTTTCTTTTTCTTCTTCTTTCCATTCTCTTCAACTTGTGGCTTTTTTTGGACTATTTTTTAAGTATAATTAGACTTGAATCTTCAACATTACTCGGTCCCACGGAATGTCATCTTTTAAAGTTCAGAATCACTGGTCTTAACTGATTTTACAATTGAAGTCCTGAAATAAATAAAAATAATAAAATAATGTAAAATCACAAATAAATTATTATTAAGAGAATAAAACATATAAGTAAAGAAACTAAAATGTATAATATTCAACGCCTAACACTACTTGTGAGAATTAACATATGGTTATTGCATTTTACGTATTTAAAGTATATATTTCTAGGGCCTATAAATAGAGATGGCTATTATTTGTAATACTATATAATATGGTGTTTCTAAATTATAATGTCTAAAAATTATTTAGACCATATGGTTCATAATTATCAATATATATATATATATATAAATATAGATGATGATCAAGCATATATGCATGAGACTCGGTCAAACAAAGCTCCAACCGTTTAAACTGTAATAAGCTGAACCATTTGTGATCCATACAAATTCCCGCCATCTGCGCGGACTGTCCATTATTATTATTATGCCATATATATTGTATATACCTCTCCACCTTTTTCCTCGTTATATATTTCTTCTATCTGCAGTGTTTCTCTATATATATTTAGAGAACAAACTGCATTCTCTTCCACCCATTCATTCGTTTATTCATTCAAATCAACAAGAGAGCAAAAAACCAACTCTATCACCAAACAAACAACACAACACAAACAAATAAACAAAAATGGCACGTCCAGTCCTTGTCCTTGCCCTCGTCTTTGTCGCCATTATCGGCTCCTCAGCTCAAAATGAACCCACCACTGCTCCGGCAACAGCTCCTTCCACTTCCACTACAACTCCTCCACCTCAAATGAGCGGCGGCGGCGGCGGTGGCGCCACACCTCCTCAACATCAAGCCGCCCCTGCACCCAAGTCATCTGATCATGATCATAGCCCCCCGGTCGCACCACCACCTAAGGATTCATCGTCTGGTGGCAGCACCCCCACGGCAGCCCCTAAGTCATCGGAAACCACCACCCCTCCATCCAAGCCTCCCAAGTCCTCCTCCTCCTCACCTCCTCCTAAGTCCTCCACACCTCCCCCGGCGGAGTCCCCTAAGACTGATGATCAGGACTATTCTTCCCCACCTTCACCACCACCAAAGAGCTCTGATTCACCAAAGAGCTCCGATTCATCCCCACCGGCACCTTCTGATGCTTCTTCACCCAAAGCTGAGACTCCGGAGGCATCTACAGCTCCAACGGATTCTGCAACTGCACCAGCCAAGAGTAGTGCAACCGCTTTGAAGGCCACTTCTGCAGCTGCCGGAATTGCAGCCATCGCCGGTTTCTTCTTCTTCTTCTAAGCTGTGAATTATTAATTAATTAATCTTCAGAGATTCGTGTTAATTAATTGAGTTCACAATTCGTGTTAATTGGTTGTATACGCGTTCACAATTCGTGTTGATTTGTTGTATACGCGTTTGATATGTCCTTTTCATTTGTATTAGAAAAAAAAAGAATGAAGGTTCTGTAAAGAGGAAGCCATCCATGCATTGCACTGCATGGCCACATCTTCAAGATAAGTAGTTAATAATGCCTTGTAATACATTCTAATATATTTGGGGTTCTTTCAAGTTGTTCTCGATCTCCCTAGCTTGACCTCAAATATTATGCATTCTGAATAATTATTTTTTTGCCAATTTATGATATATATTTTGGCCAAAAGGTCCAAATTTTATTTATTTTTCGTATTCACTTGATTTAATTTTCTGTTGTGGTTTGTGGAAAATATGTTTTAAACTATATATAGTTGAACCGATACATGTTTTTCATATTCATTTTATTCCACAAATGCTATATACAATCCACGTACGTACTGCAACTGCACCTTCAAATGTGCTTAGAGTTGGCAATGTCCAAGGTTACTAGGGATACTGGCCACAGAAAAATACTCAATCTAGCCCTGATAGAGTGCTTCGAAGATGTCATGTTGTTTTCGAGCCCTGTACAAGGATTTAAGCAGATCTTAACAAAAAATTGATGTAGCAGGTGAATAAACCACAAGTTTAGTACGTAGTTCAGTGCTATTAAAAAACATGACACAGAATGAATCATATATTAGAAACAGCCAACTAGTTTTTGATTAAAAAGTATATATATTAAATTATGCTTAGACAACATAAATAGAAACATATAGACCTAAAAAGTTACTGTCTTGGATCAAATCATCCTCAACTGCCAACCCTAGTCCATATCCATATTTGAGGAAACTAAAGAAAAGAAAGAAAAAAAAACTACAGAGAAAAGCAAAAGAAGAAGAAGAAGAATGCAGTCTATTCCTTCTTTCTAGAGTCTTTGAGTTGTCCCTTCTTCCGAATGGCAAGGCAGAACCGCAGTCGCCAAGCATCAACAACAGACTCAGGCAACAAGTGTGCCAAACCCCAAAGAAGAGAATGGGGCCAGTGGGGTGTGCAACGTGGTTCATAGCCTATCCAGCGCATTGCAGCTCGGGCATAACCATCTGTCGATGGTACGAAGAAGGAGGACCTCCTAATTGATGCCATCTTTGTTGCAACATACAAGGGCACCTACATAAAAAGAACCTGTTAGGAAATCAAAATGAAGAAAAAAACCAATTCCTGACATGTTAATAGCATCTGATTTCTAAAAGATGTAGTTTTAAAATGGTTCTTTAGATTATAAGCATTTAAAATTCACATGTATTACGTTTCAGCAAATGCACATCATATAAGTTAAATTTTATGATTTTTTATTACAAACACAGTTCTTGATGTGCACAAGGCTGAATATAAAATGAGGAAATTTTATTTTTCTATCAAAAAGAAGCAACGTAAAAGAGGTTACAAAAGGTTGTAGGCGGTTCTCAATAACCCGGATTAACAATGGGACTAAGAACCTTTAAAACTGGCTCCACAGTTTTTCTCCTCCTTTTTATGAAAATGTTAGCTTGCAAAGAATATTGAGGAAAAATTAATAGCATAAAACAGGTATGAAACATTTAAGTTAGTTCAGTGGCAGTCTGGCAGATAAAAAATATGCACAAATGTCCGGAAGGCTATTATGGTGAATTCAAGCTTATAATAAATGGAATCCTACTGTTTAAAGCAGAATGCGAGCAATAGTTGGCAATGCTTTCAACATTATATAAATGGACAAACATAAGAACAATTACTTTCCAGGAGTTGTTTACATCCTTTTCGATGGTCCGAAAAAATAACATTTTCCAGATAAAACTTTATCTAAATGGTTAGAAATTTGTTATCATAATTTTGATTCTTCTGTACAACCATTCCGATGGCACAGAATCAATTAACTTATGCAGTTGCAGACCACTTAAAGAAGCACATATCTCTTGACATATGCTAATCTGGTTTAGTCCAGAGGTGCCCATATGACGTGTTTCCACTTGGGACCCGTCTAGTTCGCCATGCCACTACTGGAGTATTTATATAGTAATCAAGCAGAGAAATAACCAATGTATAGAAGACCATGAAAATGAGCTCTACTGTCTACCAAATGCTCGAAAAATAAGACATATACATGAATTATCTAGCAATTTCCAGAAGTTATATTCACTTCTTAAATTAAAGTAAAATAAGAAGAATGAGAAGCTTAAAATATTGAATGACCAAATTATTATTTTTAGTCTGATACACATGAATGTTATGGTAGGTCATTGATACAACTCTAGATGGAGACAGAACAGAGTTTCTGCAGCAAATTTTGATGCTAAAAAATGAAGCATATAATAATGCATAAGTTTTTATTGACAGTGATAGAAATCAAACTCCTGAACCCACCCCTGTTTTAGATGTCATACTTTCAATTTCTCACTGTGCTACAACAGCTATGGCAGCATATTGTCCAACCTTTAGCATACTACGATGGTAAGTTACCAAGTGGGGGTTTGTGGAAGCTGAACATACCTGACACTGCACATCAATCCCACTCTTCTTGTACTCCACATAGAGACATCTTGAGAACTGATCAACATATCTGAAAGTGAAGCCACCAGTATCATCCATCCATTATCAGAACCATGAAAAGCAGTTCACAACAAATTTCCCCACAAAAAACAGCATATAAACATATATATTGGAACTAATCTCTCCCTTTACAAGATTAAAGTTAAAGGAGGAGAGAGGAAACAAAAAACATTTGCAAGGAAAATTAAGAAAGATGGTATAAGTTCAACACAAATGAATAAAAACTCGCAGTTTGATGATCTATAATCTATGTGTAAATTGGCATCATAACTGTAACCAAGACTAGAGACTTCAGTAATCCATTTGATTACTGAGTAAGCCATACGAAATGATAAGAAATAAAATAAAAAATTGGGTTTGGAAGTACGGAATTGGTGCATCGAACTATTTTTCCTCCAATTTCAATTCCAAATCACTGATTCCATGCTTCCAAACACAATGTTAAATATTTTCATGTGCTGTTTTTGCGTGGATAGTATCAGAAATGCTGTCTCATACAATTATCTGGTATGCTTTCTTAGGAAATAAACAACATTGAAGATACAGAAGTTCAAAATTTCTTTTCCGTTACCTTTTAACTCAGTTTCTTAGCATCCAACACAGGGTTAATGAAAATTTATACAAGTATAAACAAAACACCCACATATATACATGGAAAAAGAAACAGAAAAGAAGAATGCTTACGCTTTCGAGGCTGCATATACTGCGTAAAGAGGATCAGAAGGGATCACAATGGCAGCACCCGAACCAATATTAGCAATTGCACCTTTCTTCCTCTTGATCATCCCAGGCAAAACTGCCTGAGTAACCTTTGTTGTCCCTTCAACATTGATTTTAATCAAATCCGACAACAATTTCTCATCCACTTCATGAAAAAACCTCGCATACGGATACGAAACTCCAACATTATTGACCAAAACTCCTACTTCTACCCCATCAATCGCTTCGCGAATTCGCTCAACCCCTTCTGATAAATCACCAGAGAAATCAACCACCACAGTCTTGATCTGGGTTTGCCCGTATTTACCTCGGATAGACTCCGAAACCTCTTTGAGCTTATCTGGGTTTCGACCAACAATAACCAGATTAAGACCCTTACGTGCTAATTGAAATGCGAAACTCTTACCAATACCATCGGTTGCTCCGGTGACGAGTGCCCAAGACCCGTATTTCTTGAGATTCTTGGGAGGTCTGAGGAAATTGACATAGACCCACATGAGAACAACTAAAGAGCATTTCAGAACAGATAAAGAACCAAGACCCATTAGTAAAAGAAACCATAGAGGTTGAGATTTGATATGGTCCATGAAACAGAGCTCCATGGATATATGCAGAGTGTTTGTGTTCTTCCGAGATGGGGTAAAAGAGATGGATCTGAGAAATGGGTTTCGATTTTTGGGGTTAAAATAAGAAAATTCAAAACGGAATTGTCGATCTATATTGCATGTGAGTTGGTTGGGTTAGTGAAAATTTGATGGGGTGTAACAAGAGTAGATAACGTAATGGGTCATGTAATTGAAGGAAGACGATAGTTAGGAAGAAACAGTTGAGTATTCAATATACTTATATAAACAGTGCAAGCAATGGAGAATTAGGATCCCATACGTTGGTTGAAGCAGGTGAGCTGAATTTTTGACACAGGCGGCCTCTGGGAGTTGGGAGTTCCGTCAGAAAGTTTGTAGTCCGAACCTGAGTGTTTCCTGTTGCTTGGTTAATTCTCTATTCTTAAACCTAAGAAAGAAAAAAGAAAAACGAAAAACAAATAAAATATAGGCCGTTGCAGAAATAAAAAAATAAAATAAATGGGATTAGATTTGCAATGAAATTTAATTATTGGGTTTATAATAAGCTTATAAATTTGATTATAATTTTTTTATTTTATCATTTTATCTTAATAATTTAGAATTGCAATCTTATGTTTAACCAAAAAAACAACAAATTGGATAGTATACAAACTTGCAATTAAACTAATCAAAAAATTAGTTCAACTTCAAGTTTTTTTTTTTTTTTTTTTTGATGAAATTTGAATATGTTATACTTTGGGATTTCAAATTCCTTGAAATCTAATTTTATTTTAAATTTCCAATTTTAAATCAGTTTCTACAGACAGCAGTTTTGAGGCATTTTTTTTTAATTTTTATTTTCCAAGTGCTGAATCCATTTCTCTTTATGGTGAATTTTCGTTGACATACCATCATTACCATGTCCCCACCGAAATACCACAATGGTAGAATAGAACACTTCTTGGTGATTAAATAAATGCACTATTGTATTACTCTCTTTATTTATTTATTTTTTTTAACCATATTAAATTTCATTCAAATATTTAGATAAACACTACTAACCTACTAAAATACGACCTGCTAATTGATATTTTGTTTTGTTTTGTTTTATTCATTGACATGGAGAGCTTACAATGTATTAGGAACAAAAGTATTCACTTTTAAAAACAAATTAAAAAAATGAAGAGAGAAGTGGAATATCAATTATTTGTAGCGCATGATTTTGAAGCAACATTAGAATTGGATGGAATTAGATTTTTTTGTATCCTAACGTCAAGAAGTAAATTTATTGACAACAAGGAGAGGCTCAAGAGCAAAGGCCAATACAATATATCATATTATCACTCACTGTGTTGATAACATAGATCTAAGAGCTAATCAGTCTTATTCAACTGTTTAAGTTTTTTTGAATCATTGACAAGAACATTACAGTTGATATTAAAGATCCAATATTTGATTCAGTATCCACCAAACACCGGCTGAAAAGAATTCGGGTTGGACGGTAAATTCTGAAATGGGAAAGAGAATATTGAAAGAAGATCATATTTCATCCAAACCCTATTTATTACAGTAATTAAATAATAAGCCCGTGATCCAGGTCGATTCACAAAGGCTAAGACCCACAATAACAGTAGTGGGTCCTCCACCACCGCAGCGGTTTTGACCCAAATAAGAAGTTAGGGGCAATTCATAATTTTATTAAGGGTAAAGTACAGTCACACCCTATGAGATTTGGTAAAAAGACACTCAGAGGAAACTTACCTGTTTTTTGGACAAAGACACCCTTTAAAGGTTCAAAAATAGACAAAGATATCCCTTTATATAAAAAATTGACCAAATTATCATTTGACCGTTTAGAAGACTTTTTTAACTTTACAATTTAATAAATTGGACCAATCTATCCTCATGAATAATTTATGCATAAAAAAAAAAGTAAAAAAAAAAACTTTATATTGTTCACTTTTTTTATTATTATTATTGCTTTATAAATGTCCCAACTTCTTAAAAATGTAGACGTCTAAAATAATTTTTTGATCCAATACATATATTTCAAATAAACTATATTTTATTATTACTTCTTTTCTTTTTCTTTTTTATTTTTAAATTAAGATGTTTAATTTTTTTATCTAAAAAAATTAAACCATTCTTTTTTTCTTAAAAATAAAAAATATGGTACCAGTATAACTTTATCCATCTTAAATTATGTATCAAATATTAAGCATTTCCCAACATAAAAGGGAAAAAAATAATAATAAAACAAATGAAAAAATAATAATAAAACAAAGGGGAAAAAAAAAAAACAAAGGCATGTATAAGTTAAGATGTATAAAGTTATACTGGTACCTATTTTCTTTTATGTTGGGAAATGCATAATATTTGATATATAATTTAAGATGCATAAAATTATACTAGTACCATATTTTTTTATTTTTAAGGAAAAGAGATTGGTATAATTTTTTTAGATGAAAGAATTAGCATCTTAATTTAAAAATAAAAGAAGTAATAACAAAATATAATTTATTTAAAATATATGTATTGAATAAAAAAATCATTTTAAACTTCTATATTTTTAAGAATGTGATACCTCCGGATTTTTGAATGCGGGTTGGCCAGACCCACGCCCGAATACACAAGGATATCAAAAATAAATCGGTGATAAACGAACACGGAATACAAATATGATAAATAAGAATAAATAAAATACTGAAAAGAAACTAAAATAATAATCCAATAATTAATCCTCAAAATAAATTTCCATTGATTAATAAATTCTTCTAATACAATTAATCTTCCAAAATAATACAACTCAGAAATCCATACTATGTGGACCCCTAGAAAATCCAAACTGAATAATGTTTACATTTGAAAATTGAATCATAAACGAATCTCCTAAATAGAAGTGGAAGAATGAAGTAAACTAATACATGCTCAGCATGAATAACCTCTACTCCAAACGACTACTTGAAAAATAAGGGTGGGTCAGGCCCACAAACAAGTTCTACTTTACTACAGCCCAAGCAGAGATCCGATACATGTATACATCCTAATCAAATCAACAATAACTAAATAGTCCATATATATATATATATATATACACACTAAGGACGTTCACAGAACTATAGGTCTGTCTCAACCTGAATAGAAGGTAACACGCAAATTGCACATAAAATGGACATGTATACCTAGACCTACCAGGGCACCTAGATGTCTACTATATCCAGTTATCCATACTAGGTAATATACGCACCCTAACCATGATCCTGAGACTCAAACTTATATTATGGCACCATAATTATATATATATATAATCCGTATAAGTAATTCTCTATAAGTCATTCAACTTGTTCAGTTGACCTGACTTGAATATAAGTAGGACTTAACATTTTTAGTTAATCCATTCCTTTATATAGAATAGGTATGACTTAACTTCTTTGGTAAATTCATCCCTAAAATGCCACCGTCTCATACCGGTGCATTAAACCATACAATCCATAATAAATGATGCACAAATAAAATAGTACATCAATTAATCCATACATAGCATCATATAAATCATACAAATAACCATTTGCATTTATTTAAGCAAATACAATAATTTAAATAGCATGTGGTTAACTTACATTCCACGTAATTAACCTACATCTTAGATAAATTATATAAACTCATAATCATAAATAAAATCATTTAAACATTTAATTCAATTGTTTTAATTCAATTCATCCATTTAACAACTTCATTTGCATCTATTTAAGCAAATATAATAATTTAAATAGTATGTAGTTAAGTTTACATTCCAAGTAATTAACCTACATCTCAGATAAATTATATAAAGGTTCATAATTATGATTAGAAACTTTATAAGTATTTATTTCAATTGTTAAAACAATTAAATAACTAACCATTCATTAAATAATTTATAAAAATTATTTATGAATCCGTATTGTCCAATTCTTTAAGCATATAAAGTATATTATGCATTTTAGAACTTTTCAAAGTCCATTTAACCCATTTAGATTAATTAAAATAGGTTTAAAAATAATTCTAAGCAATTAAAACTAAAAATCCAGGTTGCGGTCCAATTGAGCAGGCTCGGTTACAATTGAGCAGGCTCAATTGCCAACTGAGTAGGCCTGGTTGCCAACTGAGTAGACTCGGTTGATGCTAAGGTCATCTTCTTCGTCTGTTCAACCTCTGTAAACACTAAAACTTCATTGTTAAGACCTCTAAGCTTCAACCTAAGTCCCATATGTCTATACTAGATTATTTTAGATGTTTTAACTTGCAAAGATTAAACTTAAGCATCAATTATACATCAAAAATTTCAGAATCATTCAAAACAAGAATATGAAACTAAAATCATACACCATCTGTTTTAGTCCAATTAAGCATGCATAATTATTCAATTTTAATTGTTTAAGTTTCCTGGAATCTCCTAGGCATGTATAGAAACACAAATCAAAGGGAGAGAGTAAGAAAAGAACTTGTCTCTTAAAGGTTTTGAATAAAACCCAACTCCCTTCTTCTCCGATAAATCTTTTGATGCCGGCAGCCTCTGAATGCCGTTGTCCTCCTCTACAGGTTAGTCTACACCCACACGAGCAACCCTTGCCTCTTTCTTCCTTGGTTCGGCCTTCTCCTTAGCCGAGACCTCTCTTCTCTCCCTCACATTTTTCCCTTCTTTTCCCTCTCTGTTATTTATCTTTCTCTATGTAACTCTCTGCCTTATGTATATAATATCATGTATGAATTCTATAGCCTCCTTACCCTATCACAGCATATATATATAGTAATCTAATATAACCCTAATCCAAATCAAACTCTAAGTCTGCCTTAAGGAAAAATATTAGGAAAATAAAAATAATTATATATATATATATAAGTCTGTTATATATATATACAATATAACTTTTTAACTATATATATAATATATATCTGACTATAGTTAAATTAATATCAACTATTTATAATAGTAATAAATATAAAATCCTTATATACATATATATATATATATATATATATATATATATATATATATATATATATATTCATTCATGGGTAAATATTCGTACCCATCCAACTCCTATCCAAGTAGTCCATGCGATCCATTGGGTTGGTCCATTACTACTATCCATAACCAACTCCTTTAAAATAAAATACAACATAAAACAATTAAATCATTTAATCCTAACAAATAATTACAATTAAACCACACATCACTTAAGCAAGTAAAACACCCAATTAATTAACAACACAAGCACCTAATTAAATCAAATAAATCACATAAGTAATTAAAACAATAAACATATAATCATGTAGCTACATAAACACATAGCCACGTAAGTACATAATCACGTAAATAAATAAAATGCAATAAAATAAATAATTAAATTCCCTTTATATCCTTTTGATAACTAAGGTATTACAAAGAAGTTGGGACATTTATAAAGTAAATAACAAAAAAAAAAAAAGTGAACAATATAAAGTTTTTTTTTTTACTTTTTTTTATGCATAAATTATTTATGAGGGTAGATTGGTCCAATTTATTAAATTGTAAAGTTAAAAAAAATCTCATACATGGTTAAAGGGTACTTTGGTAAATTTTTTATGCAAAGGGATGTCTTTGTCTAAAAAATAGATAAATTTTTCTAAGTGTCCTTTTACCACACCTGAAAGAGTGTGACTGTACTCTATCCTGCGCGGGCATAGCGTACGTGTTTCGGCCCAAGTCTTCCGGCCCAAGTCTTCGGCTTAAAACTTGGTACTAAAAATAAATTATTCTCTATTTATCACAGTTTATTTTCTAATTGGTTCTCGTATGTTGTTAATATCAACACGAGATGATGATAGGCCCATGATCCATGTCGTTGCAAACGTGCTAACCTGTTTCACTAAATTACCAAATTACCCTCCCGATTAACCTCTTTGTTTTACTACCCCATTTAATTACCAATTGACCAAGTCAAATCTACTCTCAATTAACGGTTACTTTCCACTACCTCCATATCCACCGACTACCTCTCTCTCCCTTTCCCTCTCTTTCTAACAAACTACTCACTCTGTAACTGCCCAATTTCGTCCCGCCATACAACGCCTTATTAAAGCCAACCAAATTAGTCCCAAATCACTCTCAACACAAATACATTCTAATTCTATTAATCCTCTTCATTTCAATCTTTTATTTTATTTTTTCAGCTCCCCAAATTAAGCTGACAATGGCTTCTCACTTCATGATCAGTACTTGCAACACCCTAACAGTAGTGCTCTTACTACTCACTTTCTCCTCTCTTCAAATCTTTCATGTCTCTTCCTTTGAGTTCACTGTTGGTGACACCACTGGTTGGGTTGTCCCCCCTTCCAATGACACCAAAATGTACAATGACTGGGCCTCCGAAAACAGGTTCCAGGTCGGCGACTCCATCCGTAAGTACATCGGACGAGGTTTTAGAACAGAACTTCTATAGGCGTATACATAACATATAGATATGTGTGTGTGTGTGTCTGTGTGTAAATATATAGAGGGAGTTATTTGCATGCATCAAGAGATATTTAGAAGTTTGCTTAGAAAATGTCGTTACCATGTTAATAATCAATTATGCCCTAGACAAGATGTGACGGATATAGACCAAAAATTTGACATTATTTACATAATTGCAACATTGAAACTCATATTCTCGCATTTGTTTGTTGAAAAATGATTATTTAAGCCAATAATTCAGGCCTAAAACGTTATTTGCCCTTATATATGTTTCTGAGTAGGACTCATGGTTCAGACTTAAGACATATCTAAGGGCACAATTGATTAGAGTAGCAGTGTTTTTGTTATTTATCTTTTACTTCAATGGTTGTGGACATGAATGTTGGTCTTGATGAATGACTTTGTGTTTGTGATTGTTTTGGTTAAGATTTCAAGTACAGGAAGGACTCAGTTATGGAGGTGAGTGAGGCAGAGTACAAGAAATGCAACTCCACACATCCCAACTTCTTCTCCAACACAGGGAACACGGTGTTCGAGCTCGACCGGTCGGGGGCTTTCTACTTCATCAGCGGAGCAGCTGGTCACTGCACGAGAGGACAGCGGATGATTATAAAGGTGATGTCGCCAGAGGATTCTCGTGGTGGCAACAGTACTTCAGGAGCTGCACTACTTTTATCTAATGGACTAGTCCTTAAATTGGTTTTTATTCAGTTTCTTCTGTCATATGTTGCTTCTTGCCTCCTCTAGTCTTCGCATTGTGATTGTCTAGTACTCGTACGTAATAGTTAGTGTTGATTTGGTTTAGTTTTTTTAGGTTCTGTTCTAAGAGTGTTTTTGTTTTAATATTAGTTTGCAGATTTTAGGGTTGTTTCATTATTGGATTTGCTTATGCATTAATTTGACTAATTTCCACTTCTTAGTGTTATTGCATTGGAATGGATGTTTAAATGTTTTGACTATTCAGTTTCTATGTTTTTGTAACAAAATAATGCAAAACACCAAACGAGTCTTAAACTTCTTTATTTTGTTTTCTTTATTTGGGCCAGCACTAGGTGTTAATGAACAGAGAACAAAATAAACTGGAAAAGAGAAATTCCTTTTATATCGAGGATTTATGAGTCCCATTTCATTGTGGTGACAATTTTGGTGCCAATTCTTTGGGCTCACAACTCATTTAAAAAATGATAGTTGGGCCGATTACCTAGTACTAATAATTTAAAACTGGTTGGCCCACTTGGGATTCACATTTGGGTGCCTTTGGTCCAATTGCTTGGTGAATCTTTTGGTCTTAAATATCAATTTTCATTAGAAAAATATATAAAAATGCTCATAATTTAAATCGATCCAGGTCAACAAGATAAAATTGGTTGCTTTTACGTAATTCCATGTAAGTGAAGATTTAATTGTATACTCTAATCTAGTTGGCATTAAAGTCCTAGCACTAAATGCATCTTTGAAATTTAGATTTTAAATGATTCGTTCCAATTAATACATTTAATGCTTTAATTAAAGTTGTATATATCTTGTAAATACAAGCATTATGTGTGTGTAATGACTTGTTTCTTCATAATTTTAAAAAAGTTATTACCAATGGAGTATATTAATTTCTTGGTCAAAGACCAAGTATGAACACCAGAACATCTTGACTTACTAAATTATTAATTAAATGATTTTTATTTTTTTTAGTCATCTTGACTTTAAACATTTTCTTTCTACTTAATTAATAGTTTTTTTTTATTAAAAAAAAAATGAACTTCAGAATTAGTAGAAACGTGTAAAAAATGGGATAAGTGCTTTCAAATTGAGTTCCCACTCCCCCATTCAAGTCCACTAGTTTACCTGATGCTTTTCTAGAAAAAGTAAATTAAATTAAATGTTTAAAAGAGGAATTGGCAGCACGTGGATTCCTCAAGGCGAATTAACATTAGTGATGGTGAAATCACTAAAAACATTTCCGATCCAACCCGTTTATACATTACATGGGCGATAGTGGTTTTGTGAAGAGAGATCCAAATTACAATTTGGGTTGTAATCTCGGACGAACTTTGGTTTTTTTGTTCTGATTCTGGTTGTTAGATTACAGTGTCCTGTAGTTAAGAGTTTGTTTGATGAGAGAGACAGAGACAGAGACAGAGAGGAAGAAGAAAGTGGGGATGGTCGAGTGTTTGGTAGGTGGTTACTGGACTTATCTTAATTAAAGAAATTGATTAAATTAAGTAGGGCCCACTGAGTGGGTTCCAATGGTGAGGTGGCAAAACCGGAGGGACTACTAGTGGAAAAGTAACTTTACTGTAAGCGTTTCTGCTCTCGCAAAGGGACGGACCAGTAGGAATCTGTATCTATACATCTTCTGTATCTATGTATCTATCTCTCTATAGTCTATATATATATATCGCTGATTTTGATTAGGGTTTTGAAATGTGGAGGGAGAGATGGGAAGCTGTGAAGACAACGACGCACTCAAACTCCAGCCGGAGGAGCCAGAGCTAGGGTTTGCATCCCCTGCTTCGAACTCTCACAGCACCCACTCTGCCCTCAATTCCAATGAGGAGGAAGCTCTGGTCCAGGAATTTGAAAATGTAGGGTTGGAATTGGAGGAGAACAAGGTCAACGACGATGATGATTATCAGGAAGGTAACACTAGTCTCGACGACAGCAGATTGTACCCGCTCCGACCTTACGCTGAAGATTGCACGTTTTACCTCAAAACGGGGGCGTGTAAGTTTGGATCGAATTGTAAGTTTAATCATCCAGCGAGGAGGACGACGACGAATCAGGTACACTCGAAAATTGTTCATTTGGTTTTGATGGGTCTGAAAGTTGTTTTTCTTTGTTCACTCATGCTCATTTGTGTATTCAACGTTGGTAAGGACAAGGACACAGAAGGGCTTTCGGAGAACGAAGGGCAGACTGAATGCAAGGTTTGAAATTTCTCCCCCACTTGTTTTCCTTATATATATGTGTGTGTGTGTGTGTGAGTATGAATTGAATGAATGCATATAGAATAGTGAGTGAGATAAGATTTATTTGTGCTAGTAATAAGATAAAATGAATAAATCAACAGAGCTGGAGGTTTTAATTGGAAAAAAATTGATAATGAAAGGGTGATAGCTATTAAAGGATCTAAAGGGCACTGTTTTTATTTATTTTTATTTTTTTCTTAGTTGGTACTCACACACACATGCCTCTGAGGCTCAAACCCTGACCTACCTTTCGGAAGTAGGGGCCTGGTACCGCTAGGCTATAGGCCTGTTGGTATCTAAAGGGCATTATTTGATATGTGACTGACGTGGTTGATGAGAAGAAAGAGAATGTAATTCTGAAGATTTTTGATTTTCCATTTTTTTTTTTTTTTGGGTAAAACTTGTATTATTGCTACTTGTAGTCCATGCATTTTGCTCAATGACTGGAAAATGCAATGTTTTCATACGTGCGAGGTTCTATACAATTCAGTTACTTCTTTGCATGCTAGTACTTGGTAATGTAGTGGTTCATATGCGTCTGAGATTTTTCAATAATGACGACATTCCATGATCGTTTTCAGAGGGAACTCTAGTCCACAGAAGTAGCTAGTTGTTGCATTCAATATTTCCCCCTCCCTCTTCAAGTCAGCCAGGTCTTGTCTAAGCCTGAACCTTTGGATGTCCTTCCATCTAGTATGTTTCGTCTCTTCAGTCAAAGAAACCTAATCTATAGTTACAAATATGAAATTAACTAGGAAATTGCAGCATAGGGAGGCCTAATCTTTTATATTTAAAATTTTCAAAAACTTAGGCCATGGTGTATAGATATAAAAGTTCAGCACTTACAATCGGCCAGTTTTTGCACTTTCTTCATTCACAATGTGGAGCATCAAAAGCTAGAAGTGGAAAGCAGATAAATGAGCCCTCGTTTTCCTTGCTTATTAGATTTTACTTCCAATCAACTATTTGCTTCCATTAGTTTTCTATGCTTATGTTTTTTCTGGACAAATTGTCATACTGAGCTTCCTTGTGCTCCAACAAACTGCAGACTATGCAGTATGGTTTTGTATTATATTGCACTCTTTGTTCATTACGTCATTGCTCAAAGGCCCGTTGGTTGTTAAAATGCTAATGTGAGCGGTTTGATGGTACTGGCTACCAAAGTAAGTTGGGACACGTGTAACAAGAAATATGGGCGGCCTCTATAGGCCATAGAACTTAACTATCAGTTTATTGAAAAATCTATGTGGTCTTGTAATGATATAGCAATAAATTACAATTCAATAAACATTTCATTTTCTTCCAGTGGAGCTGGATGTACATGTGCCATCTTTTTGGCTTACTGTTTTGGATTTGTCGTTATAAAATTTTGTATATTCAGTTCTATAATTGAATATACCTAAAGAAGTAATAAACTCCTCATTTAATGACTTGTTTACAGATTATAGGCTTATTTCAATCTAATTAATTGAACTGTTAAAGTAAAATTAATTTCGACTTTCCAAGGACCTGAAACTGTGAAAATATTTTCTCTGTTTGGAGATTTCGTGGCAACCATATGTGGAATGGTAGACTTAGAAAAGGAAATTTTCATGCATCAGATAATGGCCTTTTCTGAAATGGTGTCCATATCTCCATAATAATGTATTCAAGAACTATTTGAAACATTCTCAAATAATTAGATATTATTTATGGCATTTGCGATGGAAGTTTTTTTTTTCCTTTATCGGAAGATCATTTGCTATGGAAGTTTACACAAGTACAATGACAATAATAGTTGACAGATCATACTACAAGAGTGTATTAGCTAAGTTGATAGTGTGCTTTGGATTTATCCTTAAGGTTTCAAGTTCAAGTCATGGGTGTAGCATTAATTGAATTATTTTACTTATAAAAAAAATAAAAAATAGATGGCAGATCATATAGTAGACATTATATGATTATTTATGCACGTGTGTATGTATTAATGCACATGTATATATATGTAAACAGAGAGATGAAGACCTTGTAAATGCATTTGAGGTTTCAACCTAGAGTTTTGTGATTTTAGGTAGGATTTTCTAGCATTATAATTCAACTCAACATGTTGAAAAGATTGGCATATATATTTCCTGGGCTGACCACTGATGACTCTAACAAGGTTCGTGGTTTAAATTTTCCTTTTGATTCATAATCCTTTATGCCAAATATATTAAATATTGAAAAATTTTAATGTCTGCCCCCTGGCCCATTGACTCATTATTAGCATGCTTCCTTGCCTTCTTATTTTTTACCGGAAAATAAATGCTGATTTTATAGGGTATGGTCATGCATACAACAGACATTCATGCCAACACACATACATTCATAGTTGTAAACATGTATTTATGAATATAGACTGGCACAAGTGCACACATCTGCTTGAGATATTCAATTGAGAATGACAATATGGGAAATGAGAATGTGAACCCATACCACTAAAGGGGATGCTATTTTATGAAACAATAAGAGGGTGGTTGAGAATCCTAACCAGGAACCGGTGTTGAGATTGTTGCCCGGCATTCTGAAAACGGGAAAAAAAAAGAGACAAGCACCTGATTGCATACCAGAGTTCATGTAACATAGTTTGTTTAAATATATCTAATGTGCCTTTTTTTTCCGTATTGATGTATTGTAATAAATTTGACACTCTCAAGTATCATGTGCTATACCTTGAGCTTTATTTCTTCACATGGGAGGAAAAAAGGTCCCAACTCTTACATTTCAAAACTATCAGTTGTTGATATGAACCCGACTACAAACTGAGCAAAAATAGTTATTGTATATTACATCTCCAATTATATTTTTAAAAGTAAGTTGCTTACTGGACTACTGTGGCAATTCTATTTGATGGCAATGACTGCAGTCAACATTTACCAAGGCAGTCTTGTTTATATGTTGGTCATGGCCAAGAGGATAATGTAAGTAGGATAAATGGAAAAGCTTAGGTTTATAATAACCAGAATTGGACGTATTGCAGAAAAAAAGAGAGCTTCACTGCTTGGATACATTTCTAGATGGAACCTGCAACGTTATCAATGAGGAGTTCATCATGTTTAGAAAAGGTGGGAGCGTAGAGTGAGATGTTGGTGTAATTGTTATTATTGAATATCCTTGAACGATAGATCTAGACATGCTGGGCTGGAGAATTGAATTATTCATGCCAGACATGGATATTCAGGATGGAGTACTATTAGTATTAATACAGGATAATTTTTTTGTGGGTAGTTATAGATTTAGTAGCTCTTTTTTCAGATGACTGTCTTTGACATGGTCTATGGCTGTTGTACCATGTGTTATATAATTGTATGCTCCTTCCCACCTGTACTATAATGTCAGATAGTGCATAATGATTCAAAATTTTAGTATCTCTTTCTTTAACTGTTTTGTATTGACAATTTCCCATGATATATTTTAAGATATTGAGTTGCTCTCATGTGATTGTTGCAGTATTACCTAACAGCAGGAGGGTGCAAGTATGGAAAATCTTGTAGATACATCCATAAAGATGAGTCTGAATTTGCACCTCCGGAGCTTAACTTTCTTGGTTTGCCAATACGATTGGTAATATCATTGTATTTCAATTTTCTTATAATTGTTTAATTGCTAATCTTATTTTATTTAATTGGTATCTTGTCGATGTTCACCATGCAACATTTATGCATAATCATATTTGAATGTATACTCAAGAGTTGATCACATTGTCTTTTCAACTAGGGGGAGAAAGAGTGTCCCTTCTACATGCGTAAGGGTATTTGCGGATATGGAGCTCGCTGCAGGTTTCACCATCCCGATCCTACCACTGTGGGAGGAGTGGATAATTACAACTCATCTCCTAATGATGAATCTGTGAGGCGATTTAATCTTTCTTCACAAGATCATAATGGTGAACCTATTCCATTGCATTTATCAGGGTCCTCACAATCAGCTCAAGCATCCTGGACTTTGCATGGGGTACCCAATAATATTGTTCCCTACCAGGCTAACCACTCATCTTATGTGCCTGCAACACATTTACTTCCTCAAGGGGCACATCAAAATCTCAACTGGAATGGGTATCAGGTACCTCCTGGGGCAGATTTGAGGAGTTTGATTAGATCCATCATAGATTTTGCACACTCATACACACACACACATATATATTTTCCAATAATATAATGCTACTTAGTTTCTAGTTCTGCAATGCGTTAAACAGTTATTCATCCCTTTTATCACGATTTCGTTAAGTTTCATTAGACTCTCGCTCTCTCTCTTTCTCTAAAGCGCGCGCACACGTGCATGCAAGCACACATGGTTGCACATTAAAAGGGAAGGTTGCAAATGACTTACAATCCTACCTAAATTTGTTAACTTTCTCACTATAACTCCTTTTGGTTGCACGGTGTTGGTGACTAACTCGGGAGCACTGGAATGACTTGATTGTACCGTTGCAGATTGTTTTTGAGCGCTTCATGATGATACAATGCTGATAAGGTTCATAAAATACAAAGAATTATGAAAATTTAGATATAATACGAATAAATGCATAAAATAAATTCAATACACTATCCAGCACATATCATTTAAATTATACGCTGTTGAACAAGTCTGTTGCAGTATTAAATTATAGTTGAATAACCCAATGTGCATACATCACTAATGTGGTTGTGGCTTTGTGTATAATCGAATTCAAAGTGTATTAAAATAATCTATTGAATAAACCCAAGCGTGAAGACTTTAACTGACTGCCCGAAGGTTGATGTTCTCCAAAATAACCTTTGAGGTGTTGGAGTTTGAACCTTGATGGTTTGAGGTTCTGAAATTTGGGATGGCTCATCATATTGATTGAACAAATGCATGAGAACTTCAATGTTTGTTTATGTACTGTATGGTTACTGGACTGAGTAGATTTTTTATTTATTTTTTCTTACTGACTCAGCATCTTTTGAGTCATTTTGCTCCGCAGCAATATATCAGCTAATCTAGTTGAATCCTAAGTCACATAGAGCGGGAGCGGGACATCGTCAAAGTCCAAAATTACTTGAGAGCGCGAGCGTCTTGAGAGTGCTTGTATATTATATATTTTATATATTTATAGCGTGTACTTCTCTTAAATGAATATGATTATATCAATTTAATAATATTATTTTTGCTGGATTTTTCTTTAATATTAAGTAAATTGCCTTATAAAGTATCTAAAAGTATATATAAGGTAAGTTAATTTTTATTCACAAAACTATAAGTTGCCAACAGTTAGTTTCTACATCTTACTTGTTATAGGTCGAGGTTTCAAACCCAAAGCACAGAAGTGGGAGCAACACACACATGAGGTCATGGGATGACATGCCACTTGCAAGGAAGTGATGTCCAGTTCATATATAATGCAATTTGCGTATTGAAAAAATGAGTTTGTGAATTTGGAAAATGTAATTCGCGGATTTCTGCTGAATCCACTCCCAATTTGTAAAAACACGCACAGAGTGCAAAATCTTTACCCTGTTCCACGAATTGTGGGACTAAGGTTGAATAATGGTCTAAGGCATGGCAATTTATGGTCATATTGCCTCAAATGGAGTATGACTAGGTCTTGTTGCCGAGATCGCTTCTGAGGTCTTGATCGAGTCTATAAATTTGACGATATTATGATATCTCATGTCCATACAGAATACTACTATAAGGCGAGCAACAACTGTAATGTTTGTAGGTAAACAATTATCCACCCCTTTGTATGGCTAGTAAAGGCGGCTACCATTCCTTGGTATGATTAGGTGTATGATTGGGTGACGTGGGATTGACCGTGCTGACTCACTAATGGTAACAATTACAAAGCAATGATGATGATATCGATGGCCCTAACAAGGAAAGCGCTCACCGTTGTTTCATATCTTCCTATTAGTTGTCAAGATAGCACCCTTGAGGTTGCTCTTCATTGGCAAGCGTAATAAAAATACTAATCTTGACTTGAGAGTAGCTCTATATGAGGATCCCAATCGCGAGAAAGCACCTTTCTCATAAATCGATGACCTAATCTCTACAAGTAAGCCTCAAGGCCAAGTCCAATGTTATCAAAGGCCTAAGGCGTTAGAGGTCATTTGGAGCCTAGGCGCACACCTGAGTGAAGCGAGGCACACAATTGAAAAATTAAATTATGATTAAAGCATATTCATATTTCATATTAAAGGCGTAAATGTTGCCAAAGGCGCACCTGGGCACACAACGAGCGCAAGTGTTACGCCTGTATGAGCTTGGAGCCTAGGCTCACGCCTAGGCATGCCTTTAACAACACTGAGGCCAACATATAAACCCGAGGACTTCCTCTTGGATAATTCTCGAAAGGGAGAGGCACGTGGTTATGAGGCCCTCCTACTATCGAAGAACCTCGAGGAGTTCCTTTCCATGGTGGAACCTCGAGGATGAGAAGAAGGCTATCGAAGAGTTCCTCGCTACAGATAAACCTCGAAGATGAATCAATGTGGTCATAAGCAACGACAAAACCTATCCGCAAGCCAATGTGCGATAAAGCCCACAATAACACGCGGGTGATATTTGCCTGGTGGCTGATGTTCGAGGATTGTTGAGGGGCTGTGTTGTGTTCCAAACGCTGTAGCCACCTCAACCTGTCATGAAGGAAGAGTGAAGTAGTCTCCCAAGAGAGAGAGAAAGAGTGCTATCTCAAGATTTATTGCATTTAATGAATGCCCTTTCCTTGTCACGATTACATCAAATGCACATCACCTCCCTTACCCAAATTAGCCAGTCAATATGAACCTTTAAATGATGTCCAATCTTTCCCTTGAAAGTGATTTGGGGCTGATAAGTGTAATGATGAGCGGTGAACTCATTTGCAGCTAGATCCTTGTCCGAGATTGGGGTTGTAAATAAGGAATATATAGTTCAATTAATGGATTTGGGCATAGAGTAGTTATCACACTTCCGTGCCTCGTGGGAGATTACTTAAAAACTCTCTCTCCTGAGCCCTCTTTGGGGTCCTTTCCTGACAGCTAGGATATCCTTAGCCCTTGCTCACTTGTGGCCATGTCATAGTTGAAGTAATTCCTCATATTATTGCACAACATACCAATATTTTTTAAGTTAAAAATTTATTGGCGAAGGAATTAAAACTTGGCACAGCCACGTCATGGCACAACGGCATCGTTTGAGCCTCCAATATGTTTAAAAGGTTTAAATTTACAAAACCCCCCTCTACTTTCATTTTTTGACTGTTTACCGTTGTACTCATGGTTGATAAAATCTCGATCTGAATTGTAGAATCTTACAATCGTAGGATTCCAAATTACCAAATTGATCCCAATCACATAAAAATTGTTGAAAAGTAGAATCGCAGTAGGATCGGTAAAAGCGAAATAGGATCGTAGAATTGCATAGGGCCGGTAGAATTGCAGTAGGATTGGCATCGTTGAAAAGAATTTTATTTTTCCACCTATTCCTTGTCCATTCTGAAACAAAAAAAAATAGAAAATTTTCACTTATCAAAAAAAAAAAAAAAAACAAAGAAAATTTTCAATATTTTTTTTTTTTCCGTTATTCTTTTTATCTCTGTTTTGTTCTTGTTTTAACCAAAAAGTAAAATTTCCAACCTAGTTGCTCATACAATTAGGCAATTAAGCAACTAAATTGTACTTTTCTCTCTTTGTTTCTCTATTCCCTTTTTCTATTTGTTTAGAACTTTAATTTATTCTGTGAGGTTCTACTTACTGGTTATGCTGATGCTTTTGTGTAGAGAAAATCAAGAAATTGACAGTTTACCGTTGTACTCATGGTTGATAAAATCTCGATCCGAATTGTAGAATCTTATGATCCTACGATTCCAAATTGCCAAATTAATCCCAATTACATAAAAATCGTTGAAAAGTAGAATCACAGTAGGATCGGTAGCAGCGAAGTGGGATCGTAGAATTGCATAGGATCGGTAGAATCGCAGTAGGATCGGCATCGTTGAAAAGAACTTTATTTTTCCACCTATTCTTTGTCCATTCTAAAAACAAAAACAAAGAAAATTTTCACTTATCAAAAAAAAAAAAAAAAAAACAAACAAAGAAAATTTTCAAATTTTTTTTTTTTTTTGTTCCGTTATTCTTTTTATCTCTGTTTTGTTCTTGTTTTAACCAAAAACGTAAAATTTTCAACCTAGTTGCTCAAACAATTAAGCAACTAAATTGTACTTTTCTCTCTTTGTTTCTCTATTCCCTTTTTCTATTTGTTTAGAACTTTAATTTATTCTGTGAGGTTCTGCTTACTTGTTATACTGATGATTTTGTGTAGAGAAAATCAAGAAATTGATTTTAAGTGCTTGGCATGTGTTATCGTTTAAATGTCAATTGATTTTGTTAAAATCTCTCCTGTTTGTTGTTTAGCCTTATTCTCTACTTATATCGTAGATATTGGATTTCAAAAGTTAGTTTGAGTTACATTTTTTTAGTTTTATAGAATGTTACAATCCTCGATCCTTTCTTACAATCCCGATCCGATCCTATGGACCCCTCATCAATCTTACACAGAATCACGATCCTAACAACCTTGGCTGTACTATCAAACATTCAAACCACCCTTTGTACTATAAAAAAGTTTCATATAAGGACAAATTATCACGGAACTATTTGTTGACAATTGAAATTACCAAAACGGCCTTCCTTTATGTAAATAAATTTTAGATTCACAAAAAAACCCCAAGTACTTTCATTTTTTGACACTTTATCCCCCTATATTATCAAACCACCCCCTGAACTATACACAAATATGATTTTGTATTTACATTGTTTATTAATTATCAAAATATCATAATTTATTATTTATTCTTAACACAATAGGTTAATAGTTTGCAATGTTATATACTTATCAAAAAAAAAAAAAAAAAATAGTTTGCAATGTTATATATTATTTATACTAAAATGAACAAAGTTGATTATATATACATTATATTGTAATTGTTATTGTCGTTACCTCTATCTTATATGAATGGGGTCGTAAATATACATCATATTTTGTAATAAAATAAAAATACTATATATAAAACATACAGTACACAATATTAGACTATTTTTTCATATTAGATAGTTTACATTATATATTTTTTTGTATAATATATTATGAATATTCGTATAATATTTCATTAAAATCTCAAATATCGTATTATGTGTTTTATATAGGTATATTATTTTATAAAAAAATATTTATTATAAAATGTATTTCTTATATAATTACTAATTTATTATATAATGTAATGTATTTAGATAGTTTTAGTATTTACCATATGCTCGGTATGAATGGTTATTTTGGTCCTTTATGTTGCAATGGATGGAATAAAGGGTAATTCTGATGGAAAGCGCGTGCTGGACAGACATAAGATTACCATTTATTTTAGCAGATATCTAACGGGTAGGGGGTGATTTGATCACTTTAATAGTAGAAGGGGTTAAAGTGTCAAAAAATGGAAATAAAGGGGGGTTTTATGAATTTAACCCTATATAAAATAAAGTCCATTAAAAGTTTCGTATCTGTTTGTTTTGACCAAGATTTGTAATGTTTAAAAAAATTTAAACAGGTACTGTTACATAACTTTTGTTAAACCTTGGTATTTCTCTTGCCCATGTATATTATCCTGAGTAGGGCATGCATTGCACTGTGCTTAACCCAAAAAATGACTATTTTGGCAACTAGTTAATGATGACCCTCCATGGATTCACCTATATAAGGCGTGTCTAAAGTTTCAAAAATAAGAGTTGAATTCCACGACACACTGTTGCAAACTTGCAATCGCATCAGCAACCAATACATCATTTTAATTCCTTGTTATATGGTCTTGGATGTTGATATTTTAATAAATTTTGTTATATATTTGACTATAAGGCAATTTCATTAACGAAAACATAACAAACATGAAAATATTATCAAATTTCCCTCAGTGTGTGATTGCATTACTATATACGTATTTTTTTCTAGTAGTTAGCAATTGTATAGGATTTTTCCCAAAGAACAAAAGTTAGTTATTTGGTCATTGATTAATTAATTACCATGAAAGCTAATTTGTTATTGTAAGAAATGTCAATCATTAGAATTATTAGTTTCGATAAGTTTAATTATTAGAGGGTTTTCAGTTTTGGTCAGAGAACATTTAAGAAATAAATCAAGAAGGAAAGAAAAACTAACCGCGTATGGGAGACATAGGTATGGGCCCTACGGTCCATCCGCAGGAAGGATGAGAATGCTTTGTGGATGGCCTCCCTAGCATAATCTTTTTAATGGACTTTTAATGATTTATTTAAAACCAGCTTAATTTTCTGTATCACTTTGTTCCTTATTTATAGTATTTCAATGATTTCATGGACTGGATTTATCAAGGTTGTTTATGGGGTTTTATCTTTTTTATGTGGTGGGTGGTAAAATTTTGTTGCTTCTTCCCAGGTGACTGAAACTGGAATATCAACTCTCTTATTATTTAGAATAGTGATAAATAAAAAGATCAAACACTTAGAGAAGTCATTATCCTGTGTTGGTTCTGCCTATGTGAGGTGCAAGGACGGGTGGATTGGATGGAGACGTGCAATTTTGCACTATTTTACTCAAAATGGCTCCTTTCTTACTTGAGCTTGTTTATTCTCATTTGGCAGTACAAAATTTTCACCATTGCACTAAGGAAGTTGCTCATGAAAGGATGAAATTACTCTAAATGCTAAAAGTTTGAGCTCTTAAGTAGGAGAATGTAGGTTAGAATCTGAGAGCAGCCACTCAAATGATGTCAACATCCTTCTACAAGGACCAACACGGGCTAATGACATTTTAAAGCTATTCTAGAACCTAATTATTAGCATCAGGTTGAGAATGGTGTTTCTAACAGTCTAATCACTATTATGTAGTTGTTTGAATATCTTGTTTGTTTTTTGTTTTTATTTGCATTGCCTGGAAGGAATCAGCTGAAAAAAAAAATTGATAACTTTGATGAACATTTTTGCCCTTTATAACTTTCTCATAAGAGTGGTAGTCACTTTAAGTACTAAACTCTCTTTAGTTTGTCGCATGCCCTTATCTCATGCGGCAACATGGAAGAGAACTAGGGAAGGAGAAAAGGGCAGAACTACAGACCTTACATCCCTTTATAAGCGGCATGGATATTTAAAACAACTACATAATTTGACAAATTACAAATCCCGAGAGGATTTAATGATCATTAACAATACCCAGTGTGAATTTGTTCTTTTTCTTATTTGTTAATTTTGGGTACTGGAGAACGGTTCATGATGGCCATCAACTCTGTGCCGGTCTCGCCATTAAGGGATGTTGGAGATTTAGATTGATAAAGACCAAATATTAGGCATTCACAAGCTATAAAGTGGCTGTTGAGTCCCTGTTTTCACACGATAAAGCGATTTGAAATAACGTCACCTTTTATATTTTTATTTATTTATTATAGTCTCTCTCTCTCTCTCTCTGCGCATGTGATTCTGTAAGTGATGCATGGAAGTATACTTGTGTGGATATTACTTCCCCCTCATGCTTCCCGTCCACTGTTTACTTAGGTCCCTAATTATCCAGAAGATGGTACAACGCATGACCTTTCAGCTCCAGCAGCAAAGAATCTTATGGGGAAAGCAAAGATGTCTACCCAGGCTGAAGAATTCCCTGAACGACCAGGGCAACCTGAATGTGAGTTCTTCATGAAAACTGGGAACTGTAAATTCAAATCCGCATGCAGGTATCACCACCCCAGGAGTCCAGCCCCAAAATTAGATTTCTATGGTCCGAGTGACAAGAGCCTGCCGTTAAGACCTGTAAGTTCTCAACTTCATTGCTTATCGATTATGGGACCTTTAATATATATAGGTTATGCCAATCCCTCCAATGCATGATGTTGGTGACACAGATGAATAAAGAACTAATTTTAGTCTTTGCACAAATTACAGTGGCTGTTGTATTCCTGTTTCCACACTTGATAAATTGGCTCGAAATAACTTAATCAATTATACTTCTTATTTGATTTTTTCTCTCCCCCTCTGAGCACGCATCTGTGTGCATGAGTGATGCATGTGCAGATAAGTTGACTTATTGTTTATCAATGGATATTACTATCCCCTTATGCTACCTGTCTACTGTTTGCTTAGGCCCCTTACTATCCAGAAGATAATACGAGGCATAACCTTTTCGCTCCAGCAGCAAAGAATCTAATGCAGAAAGCATATATTTCTACCCAGGTTGAAGAATTCCCTGAACGACCGGGACAAGCTGAATGTGAGTACTTCATGAAAACTGGAGACTGTAAATTTAAATCTGCATGCAGGTATCACCACCCCAAGAGTCAAGCCCCAAACTCAGAGGTCTATGTTCTGAGTGACAAGGGCCTGCCTGTAAGATATGTAAGTTCTAAACTTTATTGCTTATTGACTGTTACATTCAATTTGTATAGGTTATGCCATTTCTATGCTTGTCTTGCCAATACAGGATGTTTGGGATGTAGATGGATAAAGACTTAATATTAGGTGTTGAAAAAACTACAAAGTGGCTGTTATATCCCTGTTTTCACACGATAAAGTGGCTTGAAATAACTACACCATTTATACTTTTTCTTATTACAGTTTCTTTCTTTCAGAACATGTTTCTCCATGTGAGTGATGCGCGTGCACCATGCACCTATTGCTACCAAGAGGGATAAATTGATTTAATGTTTGTCAATTGATATCACTCTCCCCTTATGCTACCTGTCCACTGTTTGCTTAGGCCCCTAATTATCTGGAAGATACCGCGAGGCGTAACCTTTCGGCTCCAGCAGCAAAGAGTTATACAGAGACAGCAAATATGGAAACCCAGGTTGAAGAATTCCCTGAACGACTGGGACAACCTGAATGCGAATACTTTATGAAAACTGGAGACTGTAAATATAAATCTGCATGCAGGTATCATCATCCCAAGAGTCAACCCCCAAAATTAGATGCCTGTGTTCTGAGTGACAAGGGCCTCCCTTTAAGACCTGTAAGTTCTCAACTTTATTGATTATTTTGGTTGTGGGACGTTTAATGTATATAGGTGCTTCAATATGAGACTTTAGAAATGATTCTACCCAAATATTTGAGTTTTTGCAATTAAAACAAACGTTTCAATATGTTCTTTTGCGTCGTTGGACACAAAAAATTGTCTCTCCAGGCGATCAATTTGAACTGAAAGTTCAGACACCACAAGAGTCGGACTTGGATGATAAATACGTTTATTATGTGTTGTGTTGTGTTATTTGCTCATAACCTCTTCAAATTTATCACTCTATCCAGGGTACAAAAATTTGCCGGCATTATGAACGGTATGGTATTTGTAAGTACGGGCGTGCTTGTTTGTTTGACCATCCAGTGAATTATAGGTCATCAGCTTCTCCAGTTGGGTCAATCTTAGGGACTCCTTCAAGCAGTAACTCAGCAACTCCTGGAGGGACTAGAACGGGGAGTAGAATGGCTGGGCACAAGGATGGAAATGAGGCTACAATCAAGCAGCTTGTATAGAAGTTTTGGTTTCCAACCCAAATAAATCTCGCGTAAGGACACATTTTACTTCTTCAGTACTTTTTTGTTTTTTCTCCTTTCCGTTTCTTTTGTTTAAAGACTTTGTTCTAAGTTATGAACACCGCAAGCTGTTGTTGTAATATAGGCTGGACCTTTCTGTTTCATGCTATTTTGACTGTTTTAAGGTTATAAAGTTTCTTATTTCTTATCGTTACTGTTTACTGGGAGGAAACCGAGCAATAAATTTGTCACACATATAATACTTGGGGACCCTTGCTTGGTGCAGTGGTAAATTCAGTCAGTCCGGCAAACCTGATTTGCTTGTGATTCCTGTTATGAGTCTGTAAATTGTTTTTTGCAACCCAGAACAGGACTATTAGAGTAACAGATCATTCTGGGTTGAAATGGTCAGTTGATGAAAAATAGCGAGCAGAAAATGTCCATTTACCATCACAACTCAGTGATAAACAGGAAACAAAGCCGTTTCTTTGTTATAGTTTAGAATTACAGTAATCATTTACATATTTATATTCTCAACATATCATCAGTCCAAGTAAAAACAAGAAAAAACTAAGAATATTCCACCCGATCTGCAATATCTTTGAATATCTATTGTTCCTTTTTTTTGTAAGGTCTCTTCTTAGAATTGACAAATAAGAATCTCAGGACAAGTGAGAGGTCCTAGTTGTGTACACACAAAAGATTAGGAAGAAACGACTTGGTTTATGTTTTGTGGCCTCTTTCCTAGAGTACATTTATACGAATAGAATTGTAAACTTCAGACGGAATTACATCATTTCACAGCTCCAAAAGAGGAGGCTAGGGTTTTCAGAAACAGCAAAACCTCTTCTTCTCCTGCAAAGGTATTAATAGTACTATTAACATACTTTTAAGTAATTTATCCGGAAGTGATGAAGGTGGTTTAATGCAACATACCGCTGGGGGGTGCTGATGCTTTTCATTTTGTTTAGATTTAGATGGATTTCCATTCTTGGGTGCTGGCCCCCCACCACTCGCAGACATTCCATTGGTTTTCTTGTCATCTCTGGCTTTGGCAAATATAACCGTAAAACCGTCAGCCGAGGCCGGATTATTTACGTCCCACTCGCCAAATTTTGGCAGTGGCCGACCCTGCTGTTTATAGTAATTTCGACACAGATTATTAACATATCACAACTATAAATTCTATTTGTGCAGAAATGAATTCATTAATGTAGTTGTATTTCTATTCAATGTGATAGTCGTCTTTTAGAAGGCACTTCAGTCCAGAAGAATGTGTACCTCTTATAAGTCTTTACTTTCAATTAATTGAAAGCATTTGTTATTGCACTATTTCAATGTGACGTTATAATAAATTCAAGTTTTTCATGGCTTTTAGATTATGATTCCTTTTATGTATGAGTGTGAGTGTGTGTGTGTGTATATATACATATATATTATTCTTTTGCATCTAACCAAATGTGTGTTGCTAGTTATTATTGTATATAGTCTTAGGGTTTTACTTATGACATCCCTTGCCTCAATGACACAAGGAAGTGTTGCTAATTACCAGTTCGATATTAGCTTATGCAATAACTTGTAGAGAAAGAGAGAGAGGTGCAAAGTATAGAACAGTAATGCGTGGCTAAATTTTTAACTGTTTAATATACATCTTTCGTTAACTATTACGTTATATTTGGGAGTATCAAATTGTGCTTTGAATTTGAAATTAAATGAAATTTAATACAAAGATTTAAAGTAAATTTATTCTGGATGGTCCCAATTGTAACATCAATCAATTTCATAGTGTAAAGGTGCATAATTGGTGTCGCATATTATATAATCCATTCTTATATTGAGAGAATACAAATACCCATAATAGAGATTCAAACCTCAAAACTTTTAGTTTATCTAAATCATATTCGTGGAATAATAATTCGCAAAAAATTGTAAATATTCTCACCAATTTTTCATTATATTGTTCATTCATTCATATATATCATATTCGATACAACAAAATCAACCACAAAATTGAAATGCAGAGAAAGAGAGACTTACCGACGTCATCAATACGTGAAAAAATTGCAGGAATTTCCTGCAAAAGAAATTGATGAGAGAGAGAAGGAAAAAAAAAAAAAAAAAAAGGAGGGAGAGAAACCAAAGAATGAGAAAAATAGGAAAATGGAAAGAACGAGTCTCAAGGAAGAGGCATTAGACAACAGAGGGTGTAAATAAATGGTGAGTACATTTGCATCACAAACCCAACTAATATTTCAATGTATCCTTCTGTTTCTCTGCATTCAGTTTTTATTAAATCTGGACCGGTTGAACCCACCGGCTTAATTAGACCAATAACAAAATTTAGAAATTAGTCATGCATGTGAAAAATAATACTATGGTAGTTCATAAATAAATCTATAAATACCAAGTGTGTGACATGTTAGCATTCATGTCAGCACAACGTGACAGCCATCTCAAATAAACTATAATTAGTAAATTATTTCACATTTAATTTTCTTTCAAATATAGCATAATAAATTATTTGTTTCATATTTAACTTCCTCTTATCACAATATCCTAGTGCGTGCGTGTGTGGCTTCCCTGTATTGTGTCAATATATATATATATATATGCAGGAAGAGAAGAAGATAGGAAACCATTCAAGTTTGGGAGACATTTTAATGCTTTGTATGATTAAAGATGTGCACATAAACTATCTTCACATAATTGTTATGATCCTTTTAACAAGTCCTGATGGAAAATGTATAATTAGAGACTATATTCTTATATAGACACAATGATGGGATGATTCCACGGAATGAAAGCAAAAAGCCTATATAAAAGAGAGAGATTTATAGTTTTCTAGTCTTATCCAATATATTAACTTCTCTCATCTCCTAAACTTGAACTGTAACGAGCCCTATATAAAGAAACATGAACGAGAGAATGTTTCTTCACCCAAGTGAGCAGGTAAATCTAACATCAACTGCACATACATACATTGTTGCCTGTAAAACCATGAAGTTGTTAGCAGTAGCTTGCTTTTTGGTTTGCATGGTCTTTGTTCAGGTTAGGATCAATGTTGTTCAAGCAAGCACTCGCCTTCCTTTTCTTATAAATCCTCAATTTCTTCAACCATCTCAGTACATTACTATTACAGGTCAGAACCAACATCTTTCGTCACTTTTAAGATTCAGTCCATTTTAGTTGTTCCGAAACTTGCATAATTCTGTCCAAAAATATTAAAATTTGGCATCACAACCTTTTTATGGATACCTAGGTGTTCAATTACCTGTGAAAAGACCAGGGTCACTCTTTCCATGCTCACTCAAAACACACATTTAAAGCACTTATTTGGCAAGTGGAACACTTGTCCTATCATCGGAACTTTACAAAAGCTATAGAAGGACATAACAACATACATATATAAGACTTGCTGCACAAGAGAAAAAATCAAAGATTTTATCATCTTCACAACAGACTTATAATGCTGATGTTGTTGTGATAGGATGCAGCAATAACTGTGATATAGCTTGCTGTTACTGTGATATCAAGAAACAGCCACCACTCTGTGTGCAATGCTGCGAAGAAGGGCCATGACCTGCAGGTATGCTTTTACCTCTTTACTTGCCGGTTTGAACAGATGTCTCCAAATGAACTGCCTCTGTACTGTTTAACAGAAGAAGAAATGTAAAGAGAACAAGTGATAAAAGTACACACACTCCCAGACACAGATAAACAGGCTGCTTGAGGGATTGGATCAACATGTGTTTTGCCTTAAATATACAATATGTCCCCAAAAAATGTAATTATGAATGTGCATTTAACTCATTTATACAATTATTTCAAAGTATGTTTCAATGTAGATACTTTTATATTTTTTCCTTTTTGCATCCTCTTCAGCAAAAGTTGCATCCCTAGTTCTTAACTGTCTTTACACCTAGACCAGCAATGTGTTGGAGATTTAGTTCACAGCTTGCCCTTGGCATACTAACAGGCAGTAGTTTCAGTGATAAACAAACGAGTTTAAAATATTATCACTGTCAAAGGTCAAGCAAGGAAGGGCATAAAATACGGAACAAGAAAAGAAAATGAGAAGGAAACAAGGACATCCACAAGAAACACGAAGAAGTTGAAATGAAATAACGTACCTAGCGAGTTATGATATCTGGCTGAGAATTTAAAAAAAAGAAGAAGAAGAAGAAGATATCTAGCCATTTCAATAATTGTATACCCTGTATCAATCACAATATTAGGACATATTGGAACTCCATTCATAAATTCTCATTTAAGATGCTTACAAAAATTTCATGGCAATTTGAATTTTAATATTTTTCAGAAGTAAAGTAGCAAGTTAAAAATGTCATCACCATCTCAGCCTCAAGCTTGGTGGGGGAAAAAAATCACAACATAAAACATGACACAAATCTAAAAGCCGAGAACATGTTTTAACTGCTCCAGGCACAGCAAATTCTCTCTATTATTGAGCAAAAGGGTTTTAGTACATCCAATTTTAAAGTTGATCATTTGATTAATCTCATCTACTCAGCCACTACAAGTTATCACAAAATCTCCATCACATGCTAAGAAATGCTATGAGACCACAACAACCAAACTAAAGCAGAGGAAAAAAGATAGCTCTCAAGCCCTCCTCGAAAGTCCAAGAAAAACAGCAGCAGATGATATTTGTACCCTAAGATCAGCAATATCAACATCATGACCACCTTCAACCAAACCCCACTTGTCAACCTGCAAGGGAATTTGAGAAAAAATTCACACTTGGGAGACAGATACAAGTCAAATCAAGACATGAAATTTTGACAGACACTGAATTATATATAAATGTCTGCAAGCGTGAGTGGGGGGTTAGAGGTAAATAACTACAGTAACAAGAACCTGCAAATCTTCTTCAAGCCTAATCAACTCAATGGCCTCCTCGATCTGCAATCTCCCACGGAAAATTGCAATAGAAATAATTAAAGAGTGTGCTGCAGCAGCAATTGCATCGATTGCCACCAATTCACAGTTATCTGTTTTCTTAAGAAGGCTTTCAATGGCATTTACAAGACCATCCTCCTGCTTGCCACCGAAAAAACTGGAGTATAAAACAGGCTTACAACCAAATTCTGATTCAACCCAATTAAGTAAAGGATCAATTTTTTCAACCTGCCTTTCTGCAAATACCAAGAAATCAATAGGTTATCTAACTATTCACTTTCTTTTTTCTTAATATCAATATCAAGAAGCAACACAATCACATACACAAGCTACAAGTGAGTTGCCAAAAATCAATGTACTTCCACTAGCCAAATGTCCTCTTCATGAACTGAAAGAGCATAGGAAGTCACCTTGTATCCATATTTTTGAACTCAAAACTAGTAGAAATTTGTGACTGACGACATTATAGTTTGCGTAACATATAGAGTGGACCTCAGGAATTGTTAGGACAAAAATGATAAACGTCAATCAATTTTAAAAATCATATGCATAATAATTATGTTTGATCACACTCGTGATTTTGAGGTGTACTCTCTTTATCTCTTGATTACTTCTTTAGGTTGCTCCCAATAGAAAAGAATTTCAGAAATCAAAGTCTTTCTTCAGACTATAATTGGCAAGACGAATTATGATCATATCCTTCAGTTTACATTTTGAAATTACTTTAGATGGCACTATTCATTGAACAAGATATTTTACACCCAATGACAAAATAAATGACATATCCCATTTCATGTCACAGAAACGATATCATTAAAAATATTAATACAGAAGGAATATATTCAACTCAACTCATCAAAGCCGTCGTCCCCAACATGGAGTCAGCTATATAAACCATGTCTCACCATTTCCCTCTAAGTAAGGACACAAGCTTCGATCAGTTAAACAAAATGTTATCATATCTTTCTTAACTATTTCAATGCATATTAGTTTTGGTCTTCCCCTTCCTGGCATTACCCCATTGAGGATCAAGTCACTTATTCTCCACTGGTGATTGCGAACCCATCCAAAGAAGAGACATGCTCAAACAAGTACATAATGTTTTATCATGGTTTTAAGTACTTGAGAAGACAATAAGATACATACCAAGGAGACCAGTTGTCAAGTCACTATCGCCAGGATCACGACAGAAGACTAAATCTTGATGGAACTTCATCATCAAATGCTCAATTGTCTTCGGCCGAGTGAGCGGAACTCTTTCTATTGCAGTAGATGCAAGTTTCATCAAAGGCATGGTGAAGGGTCTGATTCCATCTGCTTGCTACAATCACAAACATTTCATTACATAGTTGATAGTCCCCAGATCAATAAACACACATAAATTTACATTTTAAAAAAACAAATACACACACATTAATGCATCGTAGATGATTGTGCATAAAAATGAACATATGGAACACCAGATCAATTGGAATTATCAAACTTTGAGTGGGTAAACAACTGAATTACTGTGAAATAAAAAACACCCAATACATGAGTACTATCAAAGAAACCCAAGTCAATGAAAACTATAAGTTCGATGAGAGAGAGTGAAAGAGAGCACCTGGTATTCCCATTCGGCTGCAATAGCCTTGGCGAGAGCTAAAGTGGGGCACTTGAGGGGCCTCTTGGAAGGGGTTTTTAGGGTTCTGTAATCAAGCATGACAGTCCATCCATTGCCATCATCAGCCTCTCTCGTCGTCACTCTCTTGTAAAATCGCTTGCCGATGATCGATCCAGTCATGAATGACATGGGCATCGTTACCGATGATGATGACGAAGTGGAGGAGGAGGAGGATGTCTTTGGTGCCTTGAGGAAAATGCTATCATTTTCTGTGTTCTTGTTCTGAACTTCTTGTTCTACGCCGTCGGCTGAGAATGTGAAAGACGAAGATGGGGCGCCCGATTCGGGTTGTCCGGCGACGGCAAAGACGCTGAGCTGGCGGTTATGAGAATATAGGGTTCTGAGGACAAAAGGGTTTATTGATTTTAGGGTTTTCTGCATAATCGCAGTGGCCATTTGTGTGTGTGTGTGAGGGAGGGAGGGAGGGAGGGAGAGAGAGATGGTCTGCTTAGGGAATGCAGCTGGAAATGTGTGTTTTGCTGGGTTGGGTTTGCACTTTGCAGAAACTGGCTTCACCAGGGCCTTACCACGATTAAATTAAACAGCCCAACGGATCGGGAGGATAAACCTTCACCAAACGCCAAAACCTAACTCAAAAGTTTTTTTTTTTTTTAAATATATTTATATATTTTTTATTTTTATTGTTAGGTGAAATTTTAAAAATAAAAAAGAAAAAAAATAATAAATCTTTTATTTCACAGCCTAATCGATTTCACAATGTGCATAGCTCTTAAATTTTTGTGCAACTCATAGAATAATTTTTTTTTTTTTTTTTTTTTTTTTTACCTGACAACGAGAAAGAAGACTAAAAATAAAAATAAAAAAAAATCTCATAAAAAGTTCATTTATGGACCAAGAAAAAAACTAAATCGCTTTTGAGAGGGAGGGAGAGAAATGGCAAATTTTTATATTCATGGACACAGAGCATGAGCGAAAGCTAGAGCATGAAAGCGTTAAAGTTTAAATTTTTTGAAAGCGGAAACGTCATTATATTAGGTTTAAATAAGATTATATCAGGTGATGACATATATATTTTACATTGCGTGATTTATTTATAATATTCTCTAATTGAAATATTTTATAATAATATATTTTCAAACTATGTATAATTAATATATATATATATGGTAGTATATCATCATCACATGGGGCACACTGAAATTTAAGTAATTGTAAATAATAAATGCATTCGTTAATATATATATATATATATATATATATATATATATATATATATATTTATTTATTTATGGGATTGATCTAAATCTTTTATAAATAAAAATCAATCTCCTAAAAAGGACTTTAACAAGGACTTTTTATCCTTACAGATAAAAGGGTAAATTACACCTAGATCTCCTGTGGTTAGGTCATATTACACCTATATGAACATTTTGGTTTTAGATTTCACTTGTATATGAATTAGTGATTTAGCATATCACTTGCACCCCAAATATGTGATACCCCCGGATTTCCGGATGCGGGTTGGCCAGGCCCACGCCCGATTACCCGAGGATATCAAAACAATTAGCAATTTAATGAACACAGAATACAATATAGAAAACAAGAATAAATAAAATTTTGCTGGAAAGAACCTAGAATGATAATCCAATAATTGAAAACCTCAGAATAAATAATTTCATTGATAATTAAAACTATTTTGATACAACTGATCCATCACGAATGGAAATCGTTCTCCAATTTATACAACTCGGGAATCCATCTAGTGGACCCCTAAAATATCCAATGGTACTCAAAAGACTGGAACAAAACCCAAGTCTTAACCTGAAATAAAATCCTACGCCATCAATAGAGTGAATAACTGTATCTGCTCAGCACGATCAAGCTCTACAGCCCAGAACTGACGAACACCTGAAAAAAAATAATAAAAGGGTGGGTCAGGCCCACAAGCAAGTTCTAATCTAACTGCAATCCATACAGTGACCCGATACGCAGATACACCATAGATACCTCACAATATCTATCTAGTCTATACATATATATATCCACACTATGGGACCTTCACTGAACTACAGTAGGGATCTCAACCTGAATAGAAGGCAACATGCGAATACGCACCCAAAGGTAGGCATGAGTACCTAGACCTAACAGGGTACACCCAACCTACTATAACCAGCTACACATCCACTGCATATACGCACCCTAACCAACAAGTTTGAGACTCAAGCTCAACTCGTGGTACCATAAACATATATATCTAAACTCCGTTCCTAACCATTCACAAGAAATCCAATAAGTCATTCGGCGTATTCAACCGTACCGCCTTATATATATATAAGGAGGATTTATTTAACAACCCGTTCCCTTATTCCAAAATAGGTAGGACTGAGTATTTTAAATCAGTCTGTCCCTAATATGCCACCGTCCCATACCGGTGCATACAATCCACAAAGTCCATATAATTGATAGAACCAGTCATACTGTTCACCAATTAAAATCCATAAGGTAGGAATTAGCATTTTGAACTAAACCATATCTAGTATGCCACCGTCCCATACCGGTGCATACCATCCTCCATATCTATGTAAATTACAACATTCAAATGATAAGCAAGTAATTTACAATGCAAAACCAAACCCAGATAATTGACAGAATTTTAATGTGAGAATTCAGCAATTAAAATCCAATACATAATTCCAAATAATTGGTCAAATTTAATATAAGAATTCAGCAATTATAATCCAATATATGATTCCAAATAATTGACCGAATTAAGTATAAGAATTCAGCAATTATGTTCCAATACATAATTCCAGGTAAATTACAAGGCATAAATAATAAGCACGTAATTTATAGTCCAAAACCAACCATCCACATCGTTGCAGAATAGTATTTAGTATTTCAACAACTTAAAACCAAAACCATGTAAATTACAGACTATGAATGATAGTACAACATTTTAGCAATTATGTTCCAATACATAATTCCAGGTAAATTACAAGGCATAAATAATAAGCACGTAATTTATAGTCCAAAACCAACCATCCACATCATTGCAGAATAGTATTGAGTATTTCAACAACTTAAAACCAAAACCATGTAAATTACAGACTACGAATGATAGTACCGCAATTTAAAATCCAAAACCAATATCCAATTAATTACCGAAGATTTTTAAATGTTTCAGCAATTTAAATCCAAACAATTAACCATATAGTTGCAGGGGATGATTTAATAAATCAACAACTAACATCCAGAGTCTGCATAGATTACATCTAACACATCAATGACCCTATAATATATTTAAGACCATTTTATAAATATATTACATCACACTCGAATGCCTAAAAATAAGCTTAAGCATTTAAAACTTCATCCATCCACCAACCGTATACAATTGTACATAAGTGTTATACAGTTTGATCCGTTAATTTAGAATTAACCTTAAATTAATTTAGGGTCTTAATAACACCCAAAAATTAACTATTTAATCCCTTCGTGAAGTCTCATTAAATTTCTAAAATTTAATCAAGCCATTCAGTTCCTTTCTCTGTTAGTAGCATACACCGTTGTATATTTTTACACTGCTTCATCCTTTGTCTTAAAGACTTAAACCATGCAACATTAAGTTTAATAACACTTAAAATTAACTACTTAGATCCTCTGTTAAGTCCCTACAGTTCATTAGAATCACTCAAAAGCTCAAACAGTGCTCAAAACACCAAACAGAGCCCTAAAACCACTTTCTGGACGTAACAACAAATTGGAGCCGGCTCTTGGAATGGAAGAGCCGGCTCTTCCCCTATTGGAGCCGGCTCCAATCCCCTAGGAGCCGGCTCTTGCTGAAGGGGAGCCGGCTCTTGACTTTCTAGAGCCGGCTCTCTCCCTCTTGAGAGCCTCCAGTTCATCCCTACTCCGTTTCCGTCAATCTGCTCCTTCTCCGATCCATTCCTATCCCTCTACTTGTTTCTTAAACTGATCTAAAGGATCTAACACCCTCCTGATAGCATCCCCAAGGTTTGATTATAGCAATTTAAATCAATTAACAGAAGTAAACTTGTGCAAAAAACTGAAACCTCATGCATGGATTACAACGAAGCAAAATGCAACAGAGATCTAAAACAGAAATAGCAACCTTCCTATGAGATTTACATAACTCCCGTAGTCTTTCCATACTTAGTTTACAGTAGTTGCAATAAAAACAGAGACAAAAACTACGACAAAAACCCTCATGCTTAAAGGACATAAAACTGAACAAACTTGCATGCACTGTAACAGATATTGCAGAAATCATCACAGAAATAATTCAAAGCATACATATGATTAATTTGATGTATAACATACATGAATGATTTAGTTTTCAATTTCCTTAAAACCCTAGAGCATATCTAGGTGCACAGAACACGGCTCAAAGGGAAAGAGGAATATAGAACTTGCCTGAATAGGTTTGCAAACAAACCCTTGTTACCGTTGGTCTCAGTTTTTCCGACATCCACTGAAACTTGTCTAACCTCCTAGAACCTCTGCTCCTTCCTTCTCCTTGGTTAAACCTTGGAACCCCAGTCGAAATTCTCACAAACTGCTCTGTTCTCACCAAAATTCCCTCTGTAACCCTCTCTATTTGGCAGACTTTTCCGTGTAAAAGTTACGACAATATGTAACCCTAGGTTTAACATATACTGAGGTATTTATAATTGCAAGAATAAAACCCTAATCCACAGAGCCCTAACTTCGTCGGCCCACAAAGTAACCCAGTTTAGTTACATATCAGATGCTTATGAGACGGCTCCAAAAACCCTAACTAAAACGTATCTAAAACCCTAATTAATGGGAATTACATAATTACCCTGTTCAAAAATTAAATACTTAATAAATAATTAATTTAATAAAACCCATTAATTAAATCAAATAAGCAAGCAACGAATCACTTAAAACACATAAAATAAATAAAACAATTAATTAAAATAAACCAACAAATAAAGAATTACACCCTTAATTAAAATAAACAAACAATTAAAAAAATAACACAATGAATTAAAATAAACAAACAATTGGACACATAAGCATATAGATACAAAATCAATTTAATATGCACAAAAATAAAATTTAAATTCCATTTTTATCCCTTTTGAAATTAGGGGTATTACAAAATATGAATTTTAGGACTTTTGAAGTGTTAAAAGACTATACTACCCTTTGGCCTCATATTTGTGACCAAACTACCCATGACCCCTCCCCCCGGTGAACTTTCCTCTCTCTCTCTCTCTACCTCTCTTTTTCCCCTTTCTCTCTCCCTTCTCACAAACCCTCACAACAGATACGCAAATACGCACTGACCCAGTTTCGGTGAAACAAAACTCAATTCCACGCATATCGGCGTGTTCCCAACGACAAAGCAACGACGGGCGTCTAGTTAGAGCAATCAGCGATGACGACGTCGGATGTGGCTGTGGGTTGTGGAGCTGTGATGCGGCGGGCCGGCGGGGGTGGTATATGGTGTGGGTGATATATATGTGTGTGTGTGATTTGGTGGAAAGTGGGAAAGAAACCCTAAATCGAAGAAAGAAGACAAGGATTCAACGCCGTCGGAGGCTTCGACATCATTGCCGTCTTCTCCATTGTCGTCGCCGTTTGACTTGACAAATCGTCGTCATCGGCGAATTGATCCCATCGTCTCTCCCGCCGCCATAGCGACCACCTCCACCACGACCTCTTTCACCGCCGTCGCGACTGTAGCTACCTCTCTCCACACAGATACGCGACTGTAGCTACCTCATTAATTTTCTCCCTTCTCACAAACCCTCCCGCGGGAGCACGAGATGAGGATTTTTGCCGCCGATTACGACGTCGTCGAGGCTGTAAGCTTGTAATCCGATGTCTCACTGCCGAGATATATTGATTGGGCCACCGTAGAGGTTGTAATTCGACACCCGCCGCCGATATCAACTTGCTCTTCAACGTCATTTTCAACAATCGACTTTGCCTTCGATTCTGTCATCGACGTCCATTTGGGCAGTGGATGGGATGGGATTTTGTGTATTTTTGGGTTTGGTTTTAGGTGGGTGGTGGTGATGAGGTGTTGGGTGGGGGTGTAGTTTGGTTTTGGGTGGGTTGGTGGTGCAGGTGTTAGGGTAGGACGTTGGTGGTGATGGAGGTGTTGTTAATGGTGAGAACTGCCGGTGTTATATATATATATATATATATACACACACACACACACACACACACACACCCACAGATATATATATAGTATGGGCTTTTTTGTCATTTAAGATTATATATATATATTGTATTAAAAAATTGAGGGTAGAATGGTCAATTCACATGTATCAGAAGTCAAAAAGTAAATTGGGGTGTAAGTGAAAGTTAAAACCAAAATTTTCATCTGGCTGAAATATGACCTAACCTCAGGAGGTTTAGGTGTAATTTACCCTAGATAAAATACTCTCTTTTTGTAAATTAATTATATATATAATTGTCACATAAATAAATTAACAAAAAATCAATCCACAAGTCACCCCGTATGGTAGGTTTGAATTGGGTGCTTAAAAGGGAATATTCTTGAAGACGACAACATCGATACAGTATTTTCAAATTTGTATGGCACTTAGACTATTGATCACCGAAGAGTAGCCGAACCCGGACCACCAGGTGGTCTAGATACATTAACTTCTTTTAGTAAATCTGTCTTAAGACCCTGAAGTTTTTGGGTGTTTGGAGACGAGTTTTTGACAGCTAGGGAGAGAAATGGCGTCGTGGAATTCATTTCCCCTCGAGGTGTTATACAACGTTTTGGGATGGCTCGCTTTTTTCTCTTGGTCCATCAGTTTTTACCCCCAAGTCATCCTAAATTTCCGCAGGAAAAGGTACTAATTCGTTTCCCTATCGATTTTATATAAAAAAATTCGCCAATTTTTTTTCTCCATTCTGTATAAATAATATATATGTGTGTGTGTGGGTGCGCGCATTTACATAATCTGTTTTTTGGGTTGAATTATTAGTGTGGTGGGACTGAATTTCGACTTCGTGGTGCTGAATTTAACGAAGCACTCGTCGTATCTGATCTACAACGCCTCCCTCTTCTTTAGCCCCGTTGTTCAGAGGCAATATCACCAGAAATATGGCTTCCAAGAGGTTTCCGTTTCTCTCTCCTCCTATCTCTCTCTACAATCGACAAACACACACACACACACACATAACTCCTTATATGTGTAGGTCTGGATGTTGTGATGATGTGATCGTTATAGTGTTTCGATGCTGGAAACCTAACCAAAGAATAGAAATAAAAATAAATTGATTTAGATGAGGACGTGGTGTGAGTTCTTTAATATATTGTAGACTTTAGATTTAGCATTTTTTTTTTTTGGTATTTTGCTTTCTGATGTGTTGAGGCTTTTCAGCAAACAAATGGAAGGCTAAGAAGCCCATTTGTTCCGAAAATGTTACATGGTGGAATTGAGTAGTCATAGATATGGTCGTGATTGTTAAGATTGTGGTTTTCACGGTGGATTTAAAAATGGTTTCACAACAAAAATTGGCTATTAGAATTCTGATCGAACGTGGGTTTCCCTTTTAATTCATAAATGGTTTGGGACCAAAACTTTGCAAAACATTATTTTATGTAGTGTCGCAAGGCATTAGTAATAAGAATTGACATGTGTTAAATTAACGAGTTAGAAACCAAGCTGCATTTTTTATGTAGATTATTTTACATGGTCACATGTGTCACTTAGTCAAGTGTCAGTGATCAATCTGTTTTTAGTTTTTGTGGCTACTTTTTCATCCAATCTAATTTAGTTTCATGATACAACGCTTCTTACTTAATGGTACACTGGCCTTGGTGCATTGACAGAATGCTTGATGCAGATCAATTTATCTTTCCTTTTTGTTCATTGAGAAAAATATTCCTTTTGTTTTTTCTTTTCCTTTTTTTATGGTTAGGTAAATAATCACACACACCCATAAATGCCCACTATGGGATTTGAACCCTTGACCTCCCATTCGAGGGAGGAGATTTATACTAGTGAGGCAGACCTGATCCACCTGAATTGCAGGGGCCTATTATCCATGATTAATGGATAAGAGGGGTCATACCGGTTATGAATGGTATGTGTGACCTTGGCCGTCTCTAGAAAGCTTTTTAGTTGTTGAGGGGTGGAAACATTATATATATTAAATCTTTTGTATTTTGTTCCGATTGTTTCTTATTGCCAGATGATACCTGTAGCTTTAAATGATGTAGCGTTCTCAATACATGCTGTTCTACTGACTGCCTTCACCTTGTTCCAAATTACAATCTATGAGGTAAGTACAGTTATTTAGGCAGCATTTCGGTAGCATTTCGGAAGTATTTATTTTACATTGTAGAGCAAATGTTAATATATCTTTAGCTCTCAAAAGCAATATCACTACTTCTGTAATACCGTCTCAATACTCCCAACTTAAAAGATATTTTAGATTGAAGAATTTGACCTATGCATCCATATCATGCTTATGCTTTTTTTTTTTTTATTCTTTTTTACAGCGTGGAAATCAAAGGGTCTCAAAGACGTGTATTACAATTGTTTCTGTTGCATGGTTATCTGCTGCAGCTTGTGTGTTCATAGCTTTGCCAAGCCATTCCTGGCTTTGGCTAGTCTCCTGTTTTAAGTAAGATATTCTTGTATTAATTTCAGTATGTCCATTCAAAAAAAAAAAAAAAAAAAAAGAAAAGAAAAGAAAAGAAAAGAAAGAAAAGAACCACAATGTATTTATCAAATAAAAAAAAGAACCATAATGTGATAGTGATAATAGCAATACCTACTTGGTGATGATCGGAGTATTTGAGCCTTTGAATGGATCACAACAATGGAAGTCAACTTCGGCAAGATTTTAGCAAAGAATGGCCACAAGTGTGTGCCCTGTTATTACTAGAGTTGTTAGTTTATATTTTATAACGAATTGAGGGAAGTTCTATTAAAACTGGTGAGAAATAACAGTCTTGATAACAAGCTTAAGTTTCTTTTTACAAGACATTGCGACTGCAACTTCTCTTGATTGCGCCAACATATCTCCGCTTATCTAATCATCAAAAATTACAGTTTGATAGTGTTTTAACCTATCTGTTACTTTTTAACTTCTTACGACTCCAATGTTGTTGCAGCACATTGCAGGTTGTCATGACAGTAGTCAAATATATTCCCCAGGTTAGAATTTCCTCCCATTTGAATTGCTTTGTATTGTAACAAGAAATGCTGGTAGCTTTTCACTTAAAGTCTTTACATGTGCCATTGATACATTATAATCATTGCCGTATCCAGAGAACTTATATGGCTGCAGGCTTTATTTTATTTGTGTATTTTTTCTTTAAAGACTCTTATCAACTATCTTAGTTTTTTTTGGGGATCCAAAGAAGGGCTGTGGAGGGAGCATGGGTACATTACATAAAATTGTGTTTTGATGGGGTGCTTTTCTTTTGGAAAATGATTTATTAACCGAACCAAACAACTGAAATGATAGCCAAAATCCTCAGCAGCTGCACGACCACTTGATATGGGACCCACATGAGTTACGCATCAACTGATCATACAGCTGCTAAGGCAGTTGGCAAACGTTTCAGTTGTTTGGATTTGGTGAACCTATCATCTTTCTTTTGTTTTTGAGATTTAAGAGATTGTAGGCTGATAGACCTATAGACATGAGGAAAAGACCTTCTACAGGATTAGCTTATTTCTGATGTGGGTACATCCATCCATTTTTCAGGGTTTTGTTTTCGGTAATTTTCTTTTATTTGGACCCATGTACATTTGGGACTTGAGAGTTTCTGGAGACAAAGAAAACTCATTATAGAAAAGGGGCTAGGATTTGAGACTTTGAGAGGCAACTGTAAATCTGTTTTTTTTCTGTAATGAAATTTCACGATTGCCTTCGCTTGTGGATCTAGGCTTTAACCAAACCATGAAAAACTGTTGTAGCTTTGTGTGATTGTGTTCTTTTGCATTTTCTGTGTGTGCAATGTTATTTACACCACCAGTCCCTGAAAAGATTCCTGTGGGATTGAATTGTTCCATTTCCATATGCCTTACCATTGGAAGGCCTCATTATTCCATGAAGCATAGGTCTGTTTGAATGGATCTCAAGAACTAAATTAGAAAAACACTGTCAAAATATGATTGTGGAAAGGCTTTATTTGTCGTCGTATGCCAAAATATCTACCCAAAGGACACTGCTGAGATCCTGGATATTCTTTGCATTTACTACACGCAGTAGTTACACTTAATTTTAATTTTCGAAAATTTGATTTTTATGTTGATATATCATTGACCATGAATATCTCTGTTTATTCTTAAGAAAAATGGTAAGAATTTTATTCATAGATAAAATAACAGGACGTTTTATTTATTTTATTTTTATTACGGGAAAATAACAGGAAATTTTCCCCCTAAGCAAATAAAGGTTGAACTACTCGATAACATGTGTATGTAACTATTTTTCTTCATATGATCTTTGAGACTATTAGGTGACATGGCTTTAAAACACAATGAAATTGTCAAAAAAAAAAAAAAAAAACACTGAAATTGTTTGCTTCTGTATTAATATGGAATTAATGATATATTATTGTATTGTTTCTTTCTTAGTTTGATTTATGCACGAGATAATTAATGTGGATTGGCTCCTGTAAATACTTGATATTCTAAAATTGTTTGCAATTTTTACACTTCTTTTGTTAGAGTGGTTTTTTTTCCCCATATTTTTATAGCAAGTTTTGTTACTAAAAATATAGGCAATTATGAACGTCCGGCGGAAGAGCACGGTTGGATTTAGCATTGGCAACATTTTACTTGATTTAGTTGGAGGGCTGGCAAACTATGGGCAAATGGCTGTGCAATCTATAGATCAGAGTATGTCCTCTTCTCTACAGTCATGTAGATTTCTTTTTACTGACAGAAAAATGAAATTGCCTTCATATACTTTATTTTTTATGCTAACTTAAATTCTATTTATCATTCCAGATTCCTGGGTAAACTTCTATGGGAATATGGGGAAGCTGTTGCTATCCTTGGTATGCAATATTCTACTCCAGTTTTATGTATATGTTTTTGTGTCCTTATATTTATAATGCTATTAAGTAACACAATCCAGTATGGTTTTAATGCGATTGAATACATAGTTTCTATTCTTTCATTTATTTAAACTATTAAATTAAGGTACACTCAGTATATGTAAAACAAAAGAAATCAAAGCAACTAGGAAAAAAAAAAAAAAATCAAAGCATCCTTTTATTTGGTTTGAGATACCCAACAAATATAGTGCTGAAACAAAACTAACTACTAAATTGAGGTACACTCCTGAACATAGACAACAAAAACAGAACATTGCTTGCCAAATTAATATAGTGTTTCAGGATTTAGTTGAGTGTCATTTAACTACCACGATCACAGTTATTTTTTATGTGAACTTATTAATCCTTTGGAGGGGCCAAAGGGTGAGAGCGCTTGTTCGCGATTTCTGGAGGGTGACCCCCTCTGTGTTTGGTGGAGTCTCTGGAAAGAGCGCAATAGAAGATCTTTTGATGGGGAGGGGATCTCTATTGGGGCGTTGAAATTCGCCATTATTTGTTCTCTTTTTAGTTGGGAAATGGGGAGATATTGTATTTCTTTAGATGAGATAATGGACTTTTTGGGGTCTTTGGGTCCATAGGTCTTCTCTTTCCTTTTTTCGGTTTTTGCACAGGGATGCTTTCCCCTTTTGAATGCTTAACTTATTAATCCTCCTGGCTTTTTTCATATTTATATTATTAAGCATAGGAAAACTATTTGCCAAGTACTTATGCGGTGTTGGTTTTGGTGGTATGAACATTTGCAGGTGTCCGTCTTCTTTGATGTGCTCTTTATATGTCAACATTATGTGCTCTATCCTTCCAAGAAAATGGTGATATCTCCTAAACTTGATGTGGTAAGCAAGGAGCCACTTCTTGAATCTGCTGATCGTCCTCATTCAGAGAATGTCTAGTTTAGCTTGTCCTGAATATATTTATCTATGCCCATAATTTCATATAAAATTAGTACAATTCTTGTGTTGTTCCTTTCTTCATCTCACGTAATCCTTATGATCTTCTTCATTTATGTATAATTAGTTGCACCGTAGTGTAAAAGTTTCATGCAGAAGTAGCGTAAAGATTATGATTGATGAACAAATATGTATAGAAAATACCATATATATATCCAACTTTAGTAGTGTTTCTTTAGCTTTTTAATGTATGGTTGAAATTATTGAATACCAGATAGAAAGTAACCTCCCCCAAAAAAATAATAATAATAAATAATCAGTTACATTGGATGTCAATCTACAATTAGGTGAGAAAAAAAAATTAAAAAAATGATCCCAGTTAATAGGCATACATTATAAATTGTCGGACAAGGTCAGTAACCAAGGAATAGGATTAGGGAAAAAAGGTAAAAGAAGTACAAAATTATTTGGGCTTGGAGGGCTACTTTTAATATTCTAAATTCAAAACAAGGATTATTGCAATACATTTTTTTTTTTTCCCTGAAGGTTTACAATAAATTCGAAATATAACATTTCTCACATCAAGATGTTCATATTTTATTTACCAGTAAGATTAATCTCCCAAGATTTCCTTAACCAAATATAGACACTTGTGTTTTGCTTTACAGAAAGAAATTTAATTTAATCAAAACATTCCCTAGTCCAATTTTAGTTAAAATGAAGAGAGATGAGGATTCTTTCCCTCCTAGATTGCACTATTAGTTTAGATTTTGTAAGTATTTTTAACATAAAACGTGCATTAGTGTAAAAGTGCTAAAATATATTGTGTGTTTTTCCTGGGCAGTAGCCAGTAGCTTAGTTGGTAGATGGTTTGTTAGAAGAAAAAAAAAGATTTTTATTCTTTTTTGAATCATAATATGGAAATGTTTTATATCATGCGCAATGAATTCAGTACAAACTAGATAAGAAATAATAAATAATTTTTCTTTTGGTAGGAATGAGTTAAGGAGAGAAGAGAAAAGATGATGGATTAGTTATTCTTTATTATTTACAAATTTTATTCCTTATAAAAAAAATATTAATTATAAACATTTCTTTATAATTAACACTATTTCTTCTATTCTCTCCTAACAAACAAAATAGGGTATTACAATATTTTATTGAATGATAGGGGACGAAACAATTATCCCCGAATGTGATGTGGTCAAGACCAGTGATGGAGTCAGGATTTCAAGTCAGGAGGGGTACTGTGCAAAATATATATATATATATATATATATATATATATATATAAACATAAACATTACAAATATAAAATACAAACGAAGAAGAAGAAAAAAAAATTATTCAAATATGCACGTTAAAAAAATGAATTTTAAAAAGTAGAAATTGAAAAAGGAAAGAAAAGTGAGAGAACTTTAAAAGAAAAAAGTTAAGAATTTCAATTGAGAAAGGAAAATTTAACTTTTTCTTTTATGAAAATTTAAGAAATTTGAAGAGTAAAAGAGAAAATAAAAGAATAATTTTAGAAGCCACAAAATTTAGGGGGCACTGTATAAGATTTTTCATATATATAAAAAATATATAAAAATTAATACATACTCCCTCCGTCCCTTATTAATAGTCCATTTTTTTCTTTTTGCATATTCCAAATTAGTTGTCCTCTTTGAAAAGCTAAAGCATCTTTTTTTTTATATTTCCATCATTGTCTTTTATCTTTTTAAAAAACTTCAAACTTTATAACTATATATATTTAAATTAAAAAGGATAATTTGATAATTTTAAAAGGGGACAATGCATTAATTACATGTCCCCTTAAAATGGATAACTAATAAAAAACCGTGGTAGCATATTATAGAGGGCGGGGCCAGGCCAGGTCAGGCAGAGCCCTCCTGGCCCTTCATTGGTTCCGTTCCTGGTCAAGACAACGTTAACTTCAGTAGACATTGTTTAAGCATGAAAATTTTGCTCACGTGATTTAGGTGGGTCCTTCGTTGTTTTCAACCTTATGGTTAAGGTTAAATCTCATAACTCGACGATGACGATCCCTCCACACTCACCCGCGATAAGCCCTGAGATGGATTGTTTGGACACGGTGAGGCGGGAAATGGATTGTTTGGGCTTTCATTTCAATTGAAGGTCCTTTTACCCATCAATCACTAACCAAAAACGAAGTTTTGCATTCATATACAAGTTCAAACAAGATGTATGGAACAAAAAGCCTTATAGTTTTGGTACTAACCAAACGAAGCTTTGCATTCATATACAAGTTCAAACAAGATGTATGAAACAAATATATAATTATATTAATATTAAGTAAGAGTAATATATAATTATATTAATATTAAGTAAAAAAAAGTCTCATAGTTGTGGGTAATTTACACCGACTTCTTTTATGATTTATCTTAATTATATGAATCTTTCGTCTGATTTGAAAAGTTATTGGATTCTTTCTTAAAAATAAAAGTAACCTACGGGGCCTCCTTCGTACTAAGGGACAGTCAGATGGGTTAACAGACCTGTTTAAATTACTAACATACCCTCAAATTACTGACCTTAATATATATATATATATAAAATATCAGTTTTACTCTCTCTCATACCCTCAAATTACGGACAGGTGGAAAACGAGGAGGCTTCTGGGTCTATCACCGGTGGAAGCAAACATGACGCCTCTGGGTCTATTACCGGTGAAAAACAGTGTCTATCACCTGTGGTAAACAATGAGATGGCTTCTGGGTTTATCACCGGTGGAAGCAATGATGACGTTTATGGGTCTATCGCCAGTGGAAAACAGGGATGAAGCTTATGCGTCTTCAATAGAGCTCACCATTGGGTGTTGAATACAACTCCGGCTACGATAGGATAGGTCTTCAATGGAGTTATGTGCTCATTGCCAGTTTGGTCGTTGTAGCTTCACTAGTTTGATCTTTGTTGCTTCCTTACTGATTTCTTCTATCCCTTTCCTTTTGTATGTTTTTAATAGAAAAAAAAAAAAAAAAAAAAAAAAAAAAAAAAAAAAAAAAAACAGAGAAACCCATAAAAATTGAGAGGTTGACCTTTAAAAATGGACAAACAACAAAAAACTGAAATTCCAAGCACAAAACATCAAATTACACATAAAAGATCACTTAAATATTACAAAGAGAAAATTGAATCCAATCAAGAAGAACAGTACCTCAAGAAGACACAACTAACAATCCAAAACAAACATCGATCAAATTGTAGAATTAATTCAGAAATTACAAATGAGCTCTGGTAACAAAATATGTATATAATCTTTTACTGATGATGTTCAGTTGCTCAATCAAATGTACAGAGGAAGGGTTTGGAAAAGAAATGGTGATTTCTGAATAAAAAAGTAACCCAATTAGACGACAAAGGCAGGACCTTGGCTCAATGTTGACGACGGCAGGGCAATGTCGAAGACAACAAGAAACACAAAGAGGAAAGATTTGGCTAGATGAGTTGAGAAAAATGGAAACACAATAACAAAGAGGAAAGGTTTGGCTAGATGAGGAGGATATCCCTCTCTTTCTGTAACATTGCTTCCACCGGTTATAAACCCAGAATCCTTCTCATTGTTTACCACCGGTGATAGACATTGTTTTCCACTGATAATAGACCCAGAAGCGTCATGTTTGCTTCCACTGGTTATAGACCCAGAAGCCGACGCAGAAGAAATCATGCAGAAAGACCCAGAAGAAACGGCGGAAGAAATCGACCGAGTCAACTCATCCTCTTCATTGGACCTCTGTTTGCCGGAAAACAGTTCTTCCAACTCAATCCAAGCTGACCTTGACACCCCTCGTCATCATCACTGGTCACCGCCACATGCTCGTCCTCACAGTTGCCGCCGGCAACTATGTGGAGGTGTCGCCGTCCCGTTGATGTTGAGCATTGATCTTCTATCCCTTCTATCCGTTTATGTATGTCTATGGATCATTGATGATATATTTCCTCTTGAATTGGACCAACATGGTCTTCTATCCCTTCCCAGATCAAACTAAAACCATCAAAATTCAAGCAAGTCTCTCATCTGGGTCTCTCAATTGCTCTAAAAGCTTCAATTTTTGGGAGTATTTCGTATAACTTTAATTGGTGATCCATACTATTACAATGGACGATCCAAATGATGCATTGGTGAGTCAACGGGGAGAGAGCATAAGGGACATTTCTGGGCTACCCGAGTGCCGACCTTGAAGAAGATGTACGGTAATTTGCTTCAGAGGGCGAAGCTATTAACTTACCGAAAACAAAATGAGTGAAGCTATTGAGCCCTCTGTTTGAGGAATTGAACGACGGCGACGAAGAGCTTGGCAATGATGAAGTTCGAGATGACGGCAATGATGAGGTTCAAGGACTCGAATCATTAAGGGTTGCTTTGAATTCAGCTGAAGAGCTTATTTGATCACACCAACCCATCAAAGAAAACCTCTCACGCCCACCAATTTCCAAGATCTCTGTCGGAGCTGTCGGTCTGGGCTTCGATGGCCGGATCTTTCTTGGCGTCAACCTCGAATTCCCCGGCCTCCCCCTCCACCACAGAGTCCACGCCGAGCAGTTCCTCGCCACCAACCTCGCTGTCCACGGCGAGCCCCACCTCCTCTACATAGCCGTCTCGACCGCCCCATGCGGCCACTGCCGCCAATTCCTCCAAGAACTCCCAAAATTGAAACCCCTAGTTGTGTCATAAGGGCTAGTTTTGTTCTTTTAAAAATTGAAACCACTGCCGCCAATTCCTCCAAGAACCCCCAAAATTGAAACCCCTAGTTGTGTCATAAGGGCTAGTTTTGTTCTTTTAAAAATTTTTGGCCTCTCACGTGACTTAAGTGTTCTCATTTTTGTTAAAAATCTGAATTAATATTTACAACAAATTAAATAATTTTGAGAATTAAATGTCTTTATCATAATATAAGGAGGTTTTGTAAAAAAGAGAAGTGAGGAGGCCCCGGATGACATGGGCCAGGTCCGACTCGCAAAACACAATCTTCAGTCCGAACGGCTGGGTCAGCCCATAGAAAGACACTGCCATATGGGCCGAGCGGGAGTAAGCCCATCAAGGGTGACTAGGGCTTACAGAGTAATAGGCCCAGGTCCAGCAATCAGAAAATATCTTGCAAATATCTTGTAAATATCTTGTAAGTATCTATAAATAGGAGTTGGAATGAAGAGGAGAGGGATCTTTTTCGGGTTGAGGTGTAAGAATTCTAGAGAGAGAAAGAATAGTAGGAATTT